TCTATAACATGTAGGCATGGGTGTCCTCTCAGGGGCTTCAGAGGCCTTTACATTCTGTCAGGGCCGGGACAGTGACATAGCCGAGAGTGGAAAATGAAAGGGAGGTGCCCTCTGGGCAGAGGCAAAGGCCAGTGTAGGGAACCCCTGCTCCCCCACCCTTCCTGCAGGCCCTGGAGGTCCTGGCAGTTAGCTATTCCAGAAATCGGCCCGCAGCTTTGGCGGAAGAAGGCTCGTAGAAGCTCCGGACTGGCCGTTCCCCAACCACACTGCATCCTCCCCACAAGACCGCGGCGGCTGGAGCGGCCTCCTGCGACCGAAACCCGGGGCGCTTCTCGTAGCCCCGCAGCCGGCTGCTCCGGGTCGGGCGGGGCCGGCTTCGGCATCCGGGCACGTTCCGGGCTCGCCCGGCCCACTCCGCCTCGCCGGCGCTGATCGGCTCCTCACCGCGGCCGCAAACTGCAGTGGGGAACGGAGGAAGAGGAAGGGGCGGAGCTGCTTTGCAGTTCGCTGCCCAGCAGTCAGCCGACCGCGGCGGGGCGGCTGTCCCTGGCACCGCCCGCTGCCCTGAGGGCGGAGAACTGCAGGGTCGGACGGGCGAAGCAACCGTGTCCAAGAAGCCGGGCAATGCTCCGCCACGGAGGTTCTCCCGCCCAGGGACACCTCGAGTCTGCCCATGGGCAAGGACCGGACAGGTCCTGCGGGACCCCCAGCCGGGGACTCCTGTGGGCCGGCCTGGTGCTGGCGCTGGTTCCCTGGGTCCCGGCCGCGGCTCACCCTCTTCGCGAGCAAGACAGTCTCGTCACGTTCAGTCGCATAGTGCCCCAGCTGCGGCACACTTTGGGGTGGTGGAACCTCACCTGCCCGGCCTGCAAAGGCCTGTTCGCTGCCATCGACTATGGGCTGAAGGTGAGCGCTAAACCCGCTGCAGCTGCGGAGGAACCCGACGGAGAGAGCGGGAGGGGTAGGGGGGAGGGACTGGGACTGAGCTCTGGACTCTAGCCGGCATCCCGCGACAGAGATTGGCCCCGCGAGCTTTTACTGAATGTGCTCGTCTTTAGGGACACCCGTGACTAACTCCACTTGACCTTGTGCAGTAAAGAGTGGAAACTAGGTTCTGGGCGCTCTGTTTAGTTTATACAGGGGAAATAAACCCATGAGCTGTTTTCGTTGCAGTTGTGATCACCTTTTTACAAATGCATTGAGTCCCAGAGCCCTGAAGTCACCTGCCCAAGGGCACATAGGGGTGGGGCTGGGACTTCCACCCTGGGGGGTGTGAGTCTGAATCCCTGCATAGGCCTTACCTTTGGCATATCCAGATCAGACATCCTGCCTAGCACTACTTACTCATAAGGTACTTAAGAAATATGCAGGAGTGTGGTACCAAGTGGGAGGTCTCTGACCCTGGTGGGGTCGAGTGCTCATTGGGAGGTGTTTAGGGGGGCTCCTCAGGGAAGCAGGTCCCTGCCCTCTCCGTTTATGCCCTCAGACCTAGAACAGCCTGTCATTCTGCCCTGCTCAATTTCTGCAGACAATGCCTGCAAAAGCCAGCCAGGGCAAGCAAAGGCCTGGAGTGCCACTAGCTGAAGAGGAAGTACCTGTGCTGCCTCAGTCACTGGAAATGCTCCACAGGAGGCAAGGGGTGCATTGAGGTCTCTTCGCCTTTGGGACACGAGTCCAGCTCTAGTTTGGATAGCAAGCCCCTAGGGTATTAACAGGGGTTGGCTGAGCCATGCACTCTATTTCTGACCTCCCACTGCTGGTTTTACCCCCCACAGAAGGAGCCCAGTGTGGCTTGGGTGGGCACTGTGGCCACCAAGATGTGCATGATGCTGAAGATAGCACCGCCTGCAGTGTGCCAGTCAGCTGTCCAGCTCTTCCAGGATGATGTGGTAGAGGTGTGGACACGCTCAGTGCTCAGCCCTTCTGAGGCCTGTGGTCTGCTCCTGGGCTCCTCCTGCGGGCACTGGGATATCTTCTCATCTTGGAACATCTCTTTGCCAGCTGTGCCAAAGCCAGCCCCCCACCCACCCAGCCCACCAGCCCCAGGAGCCCCTGTCAGCCGCATCCTCTTCCTCACTGACCTGCACTGGGATCACGACTACCTGGAGGGCGCAGACCCTGACTGCGAGAACCCACTCTGCTGCCGCCAGGATTCTGGGCTGCCGCCCGCCTCCCGCCCAGGTGCCGGATACTGGGGGGAGTACAGCAAGTGTGACCTGCCCCTGCGAACTCTGGAAAGCATGTTAAGTGGGCTGGGCCCAGCTGGCCCCTTTGATATGGTATACTGGACAGGAGACATCCCTGCCCACAACGTCTGGCATCAGTCTCGACAGGATCAGCTGCGGGCCCTCAACAACATCACAGCCCTAGTGAGGAAGTACTTGGGGCCGGTGCCTGTGTACCCTGCCGTGGGCAACCACGAGAGCACACCTGTCAATGGCTTCCCTCCCCCCTTCATAGAGGGCAACCAGTCTTCAGGCTGGCTCTATGAGGCCATGGCCAAGGCCTGGGAGCCCTGGCTGCCTGCTGAGGCGCTTCGCACACTCAGGTACTTGAGATGCACAGAAACCCAGAAAGGGAAGAGGAGGGTACGAAAGTGAAGGGAGCAGGGACCCCGGCCTTATCTGTGACTACACTAGTGTGAGTGTTCATCAGGCCTTCTTGGAACCTGCCCATTTGAAGCCCAGCCACCATCACCACCCTTATCTCCAGCTACCCTCTTTCAAAGGAGGGCACCACGCCCTTTTTGCTCATCTGTGTCTCTGCTCACGTTCACCTACCCTCCTCTAAACTGACGACTTGCCCCAGCTCCCCCAGACCCAGGTCACCTTCCCTTGACTGGCCTCTGCTTCCCAGTCTAACTCATTGTTAGTCCCCAGAACTGCTAGAGTCCTTAGCCCTCTGAGACATGCCCCCATCACACAGGCCCATGGTGAGTGGCTTCAGCTAGTGTGAGCTCCCTGTGGGTGAGGATGGCATCTGCCCACCTCCAGCTGCCTGCCACAGGTTTGCCAATGCAGAATTTTGAATGAGTGCTGACCTCCATGTTCAATTTATTGCAGAATTGGGGGTTTCTATGCCCTTTCCCCACGCCCTGGCCTCCGCCTCATCTCTCTCAATATGAACTTTTGTTCCCGTGAGAACTTCTGGCTGTTAATCAACTCCACAGATCCAGCTGGACAGCTCCAGTGGCTGGTGGGGGAGCTTCAGGCTGCTGAGGATCGAGGAGACAAAGTAAGGGAGAAGAGAGTGGGCCCCGGGGTAAGGGCTGACAGGAAGCAGGTCCTTCACTGGCAGACTTGGAAGTTAGAGCACTTGTGAGCAGAGATGTTAGATTTTCTGTCACTCTCAGTAACCGTGTTTCCTGGGGCTTCAGTTCACCATCACTCTCAGAAGTCCTATCATTTCCTTGCCCTCTCCCAGCCAGGAACCACAGCCTTTGTGGGAGAAATGAGTACCCCCTCTTCTGCCCAGGACTACCTGAAACCCTCCTGCCCTGGTAACGTCCCTAACTTTCCCCACAGGTGCATATAATTGGCCACATCCCCCCAGGGCACTGCCTAAAGAGCTGGAGTTGGAATTATTACCGAATTGTAGCCAGGTAGGAGGAAAGTGGGGATCAATATGGGGTGGGGGGTTGAGGAACTCAAAGGGTGGAAATTCCCTTGAGCATCTCACCATCCCTGCTGCCCCACTTGGGTGCTTGAAGAGGATGGAGAGAGCGGCCTTTCTCTCCAGATCTCTTCCTCCCTCTCCCTGGAACCTTCTGAATATAGTATCTTCTGACCAGGTATGAGAACACCTTGGCTGGTCAGTTCTTTGGCCACACCCACGTGGATGAGTTTGAGGTCTTCTACGATGAGGAGACTCTAAGCCGGCCGCTATCTGTCGCCTTCCTGGCACCCAGTGCTACCACCTACATTGGCCTTAATCCTGGTAAGTGAGGAGAAGGGGATCCTTGGGACACAGGAAGAGAGGACAGATATGGGTGAGGCCAACAAGATCCAGGCCAGACTTGGGTCCCTCTGTGGGGTGGCCTTCGTCTTCCCCTCTCCAGTTAGCCCTCCCTCCTCCTAGGTTACCGGGTCTACCAGGTAGATGGCAACTACTCTGGAAGCTCTCACGTGGTCCTGGACCATGAGACCTACATCCTGAACCTGACACAGGCGAATGAGCCCAGAGCCACACCACACTGGCAGCGCCTCTATCGGGCCCGAGAGACCTATGGGCTGCCCAACGCGCTGCCTGCTACCTGGCATGACCTGGTATACCGCATGCGGGGTGACACAAAATTATTCCAGACCTTCTGGTTTCTCTACCACAAGGGCCACCCGCCCTCAGAACCCTGTGGCACACCCTGCCGCCTCGCTACTCTGTGTGCCCAGCTCTCTGCCCGCTCTGACAGCCCTGCTCTCTGTCGCCACCTGGTACCAGAAGCAAGCCTTCCTGCTATCCAGAGCCTGCGGCCTCGGCCACCATTCTGCTAGTGCCTGAGGGCCCAGAGTTGGGAACGTTCTGTCTTGGGAAAGGCTTGGGGAAGCCCAGAAAGCCACTGGGAAGAGAGGAGTAAGGTGATTTCCGAGCACAAGCACTCTAGGGAAACAGGACCACCTCCTTCTCTGGAGCTGCTTGGCAAGATACGGATGAGGGCTGGCTGCTCTGGCTCTGCCTATATCCTAACCACCCCGGGGATGCTGTCCTTTCCTGGCCACAGAATACAGGTCTAAGTTGGCCACCCTGGGCAGATCACATGGGAGCTGTCACCTCCCACCTGTGCTGGCCCACCCAGAACCTGTACTGCTGCTACCTGATTACCAGGCTGATAAAATAAAGACAAGACACTTGCACCATCAAACCCCTCTGTGATTGTTCCATTTCCTTCTTTCAAGGTAGGCAGGGCACGGGATCCTTGGGGACCAGATCGTCGCTGAGGGGCGAGGTGACACGATGATGGGGTGACACAATGATGGGGTGGTGTGGGCACAGGAAGCACACAGCTCAGCAGGGCAGACAGACTTTATTAGTGATATCAATAGAGGTGCCCATGGAGCAGGGGGAGGGGACCCATGCCTGGACCAGTCCCCTCCCACCCCTGCTGGGCCCTATGAGGATGGGCCTGGCCCAAACCAGTTCCTCCTGCTCCACCTGAAATGGGGATGGAGAGCCCCGGGCTGGGCTCTTGAATCCTATTCCTCCTGTCATTGACCCAGCACTGTCACTTACTTGCAGGATTACATCTCTATTTCCCCAGATTTCCCCAGCCCCTAGGCAGGGAACCCCAGATACTGGGGAGGGGCAGATTTGATGGGGGGGCCTTAGGACTAAGAAGAGCCTCTAGGGCCCCTCCCTGCCCCATACTCTTGAGTTCCCTGGGGCTCAGCACAAGCAGGTGGAGGGAGAACCAAGGGCTTCAGGGGGTATGGGACCCCAACCTTTTAGGCTTGATCGAGCCCCACAGCGACTGGACACCCCTGCGGACGGTCCACCCTACACGCCGGGCAACAGATTCAGCAGGGGGTGCTGGGAGGCAGGAGGTGGAGGCCTGGGAACGTGCATCCAGACACTTCTGGTAGCGGAGCTGCAGAGGCAGGTAGGCAGTCACTTCCCGGCCTGCCCCACATGGATGAGTGTGCCACCCTACCGCCCTCCCCACTTACCATGCACGCAGCCTGCACAGCCTCTGAGAGGCTGGCGGCATTGGGCTCGCACCAGAACATGTGGCAGCAGAAGGAGGCTGGGCCAGCAGCCATGATGAATGCGAACGTGTGGACATCCCTGCCCACAGCCAGGAAGGACAGGAAGCGTACCCGACACTCTCCCAGGACTGCCTCCGTCTGAGGGGAGAGAAGCCAGTTACAAGAGAGCTGCCCCAGCCCTCTGGAGCCCACATCCATCCCACAGCCAACTCTTCCCATCCCTGTCTCCCCTTCATGCCAAGGTGCAACCACGCTTCCTTCCTACCCCAGTCTTTACCTGCTGGTGCAAGATGGTGAGGGTAGCAGGGGCCACGCTGACATGACTGGGGGTCCACTGCTCGCGACTACTGGAGGACAGGACTGACTCCAGGGCCCCATTTATCACATCAACCCCTAGAAGACATGAACACAAGCATGGCACCACCAGGGGTTAGCAGAGGGCACCCCACCTCTGCTAGTCAAGACCAAGGTCTTCGCTGCACCCCCACTTCAGCAGCCTATGGTCCCATGTGGGCCCCTTCCTGGGGGTGCTCCCCCTGGCTTCAGTGACCTGGTATTCTTTCTGGCTTCTTCCATCTGGAACCCTAGGCTGGGTCCCTTTCACTGACGGCCTCTGCCAGCCTCCTAAATGAACTGACTGCCCCCGGCCAGAAGTCTGGCTGCCCCGATCTGGTGCTCGGTGCTCATCCACTCTCAGACATCCCAGTGCTTCACCACAGTGACTCCCAAATCAGCCCCTACGGGCCTCTCCTGAATCAACAGCTGACCTATTTTACTTAAAATACCAGTCTGAGAAATAACTTTGTGTCACACTGTACTGAGTCATTAAGTGTCTCTTTCACACCCTACAACAATCTCACAGAAGATTCTTTTATCGCCATTTTACAGATAGGGAAACTGAAGCTTAAAAAATAAACTTGAGGGCCCTCCCTGGTGGCACAGCGGGTTAAAGCACAGCTAAAAGCTAAAGCCACTTCAGCACGAGTTCGATTCCCACCCCGGAGGTGACCCACATGGCGTGGCAGACCTCTCTCTCCTGACCCACCCACTGCTCCCCTCAGCAGTGTATTTCATCAGTCGGCCTGTTCTGCTCCCCACTCTGGCTCTGGTGAATCCTCTCACCGCCCCTGCACCTCTGGCCTGTACCTCAGTTCTGTATGCATAAATAAATATATCTTTAAAAAATAAATAAACTTCAGATGACACTAAGGAAAAAGACCTGATTCTGTAGCCAGGCCTTTCCCCTGCCCCTTCTCTCTGTTCCCATGATTAGCTCCAGAGACCTGTCAACTTCTTAGCTGCTCTCAATTTCTATAAGGTGCTCAAAGGCCGAGGGCCCCAAGGTTCCTCACTTTTACATCAACTGACTTTCCCTTGTAACCAACGGTTTCCTCACCTCAAGCTGCCTTGACTCACTTCCCTCCTGCGGACCACTTGTGCCCACACTCAGAGAGACTCTACGGTGAGGGGCCGTGGGCTCCAGCCGAGGTGCCACTCGTGAGCTGGCTATGGATCCACTATGCCTCCGCCTTTGCAGCCAAGAGGTCAGAGTGACACCGACGCGGAAAGCACAGAGCCCTGGGGTCTGCTCCCCGGCTCCCTTGCCCCTTCCAGCACCTCTGAGCTCCCACTCGGAGCAGACCACATGGACCCTCTGTGGGCAGAGGGCAAAAGTCTTCCTCAAAAGTGTCCCTCACTGAGGCCTTCCTCATCTCACCTCTGGCTGGGTGAAGGCCAAATTTCTCTTCCTGGCATGCAAGGCCTCCAAAATCTGGCCTCATATTTTACTGATCCCTGAGCTTCCAATGATTTATGTAGCAATTATCAAAATCTAATCTTGGCAAAGGCTCTGCCAGGCAGCTGGGAAATACGAAGTAAGAAAAGATGATGCCCTCGAGGGACACTGACTGTAACTGAGGGAAATGCCTCTGTGGAGTGCCCTCCTTGCTCCCTGAGCATCCTGATTCTCATCCTGCATGGCTCCTGCATGCCGTGCAGGGAGGTTTTCTCTGCTGCAAAGCAAAGAGAACATTGCTGGGACATCTCCTAGTGCAACATCTTGTATTTGCTGAGAAAAATGTCCCCACACGTGGCTGTGGCCATCTCAAAGACAAGCCAGCTTGAATTAATTTCTGCCCCCAGTGGTAGTGCAGAGCCACCTACTGACTCAAGAAATTCTGTAAGCAGAGCAGGTAGCACAGGAGATGGCTGGCAGCGAGGGCAGGAGTGGGCGGGACAGGGCAGGCTGAGAAGTGCACCAACGTCTATCACATAATCAAAGATCGTGAATGTGGATGGAACATCAGAGGTCAAATATGGGGCTGGGGGTTGGAAGCTGACCTCGTGGGCAGCACGAGTAGGGAAGTGGGGAAAGCAGTGGAACAACTGGCCTGGAAAGTCTGTCAGGTCAGGAGCAAAAATTACACCCCAACCAGAACCTGACACTCCCAACCACTCTGGCGTATTTTTCCTTATCAACTGTTACCTTCGAACATCCTGTATAATTTACTTATTTTATTGTCTCTCCTAGCTAGAATGTCAACTACTTGCAGACAGAAATTTGTCAGTTTTGTTCATTAATGTACACCAAGAACCTACAATAGTGCCTGGCACAAATGGGGCACTCAGTAATAGCCAAGGGCGAAATAAATAATAAATGGCTGATGGAGTTTCAGCAGGGGCCTATGTGAACTTGCCAGTGTGTACAATGATTCGTAACCAAAAGCTGGAGCTAAGCTTAGAGACCCCTGGTGTGAAAGCTCAGCTTAAACAGAGAAGTTCAGCAAGCTGGAGGGCAGCCTGGTTTGAGAAGAATCGAAGATGAAATGCCCTAAGTCTTGGTCAACCATCTGCTGGCTATGTCATCTGAGGTCAGTCTCATTCATTCGCACATTCGTTTGCTTATTCATCACCAGACAGGTTACATTCTTCCTGAGTCTTGACATGATACATCAGGTTCTTTTTTCCTCTGGCCTCTCCCCTTTTGCTCTCACTACCCTCCTCCCCAGCGGGTGGTCCATTCAATGCTGGAGGCCTCAGCATTATATCACTTCCCTTCTCACTGTGAGCAGCCTTCCCACACTCATGACTGATTATCCTGTGATTCAGTGATGCCCACACTGGTATCCTCAGTCCAGGCTTCTCTTCTGAATCCAGCAGCCAACTTGAGTTTGCCACTCAGCTTCCCCAAGGTGCCTGAATGTTAGCTTGTCCACTTAGAACTTACAGTCTCCACCCTCCAAAAACAGCCTCTTCTATTTTCTGCTCCATGAGAGAACAGTGCACTATGATCAGTTCCAAATCTAGGCGACCAGTTATCCCTTTATGCCTGTGCACCTCACCCCACATTCAATCAGTCATTAAGCCTGTTTTTTTTTTAAATCATCTAAAAATCACTATATATTGCTCTTCAGTCTCACCATAGCGTAAGATATCTCACAACTGGCCGCAGCTATCACAAGGTTCTCCTCACTGAGTTCCTCAACTCCACCCACCACCAAACATCTCAAGGCATAGCCAAAGTGAGCTTTACAAAATTCAAACATGATGATGCCAAGCACTTTCCTGAAAACTATCTGACAACTCTTGTTGCGCGTAGGACGAAGAACAGATGGCCAGGGTGGCCTGAGAGGCCCAAAGAGCTGACTGGAAGTCCAGCTCCAGGCCACAATGGCAGTCACCCAGGGCCACTGATGCACCGTAGGGCGTGGTTTCTCATGGCACATGCGGTTCACTCTGCCTGGGGTGCTTTCTCTCCCTTATTCCTCTCTCCATCCCACTTTACCACACTGGCTCCTTATTTTTAATCTCAGTTCAAATGTCACTTTCTCAAGGAGTCTTTTCTGATTCCCTGTATGAGGTAAAGTTCCTCTGTTTCATAGCCCCTTGCTATTTTCTTCCAATGAATGACAATTTTATTACATATGGATTTGTGTAATTTAGTTCCTGTTTTCCCTACTGTAACTTCCACAAAAGCAGGCAGTGGCCATTGCTCTTCCAGGGCCTGGCACGCAGTAGGCTTCATAGATGTTAACTAACTGAGTGAACAAATAAGTAACAGGTACAGTGAAAACTCCAGAAGCGTAAGAGTGAACCAGATAGTCTCCACTCCCAGTTTCCCTATCTATAAAATGGGTATTATCCTATTCCCAGCTTCAAAGGATCATTAGGACCGAGGATATCATACATGAGGAAGTACGTTAGAAAGAATACAGCGCACAATTATTCCAGTCACTGTGCCCTCTGTAGTGCTCACAGTCCACGGCTGGTGCTGTAAACCCTAGCTCCAGGCTACTGCCTGATGTTTCAGGTTACATACAGCCTGTCTCTGGACCCAAGCAAAGCTTTCTGTAGGATGCCAGAGTGACCCCTGTTCAGCACAGTCACACAGTTTACACTTGGTGACTATGTGCCAACTGCCGCTCCAGGCTGGACACAGACTAAAGTGGCCAGAAGCACAGCAGGTGGGAGACATTTTGAAGAACAGGTGACAGTGACCATGAGGAGGCCTGGTAAAAAACAGAAGGCTGCCCTCCCTGGTGGCGCAGCGGGTTAAAGCACTGCACTAAGAAGCTTAAGCCACTTCCGCATGGGTTCGATGCCCGCCTGCCCCGGAGGAGACCACATGGCGTGGCAGATCCCTCCTGACCCCCCCGCTGCTCCCCTCAGCAGTGTACTTCATCGATCTGCCTGTTCTGCTCCCCACTCTGTCTCTAGTGAAGCCTCTCACCCTCCGCATCTCTGGCCTGTACCCCAGTTCTGTATGAATAAATAAATAAATCTTTAAAAAAAAAAAAAAAACAGAAGGCATTGGAGACACAGGGTGAGGGCAGCGCTTTGAGGTCAGGGTGGTGGTCTGTAGGTGAAGCAGGGCACACATACCGACAGGTTTAGCAACAGGTACACTCCCCAGGTAATAGACTTGGAACTTTTGTACCAGCTCGTTCTTGGGTGCTGGGAACTCCACTGCAGAAAAGAAGAGAAGATCCAACAGTGGTGCAGACATTGCTCCCTCCCAGCCCCACCTACCAGTGCATAAACTGGACATTTGCCCAGCCGAGGCCCTTCCTCCATCCCTTGCCTGCCTCTACCCATTTGATAGAATTTACTCTCCATGTATCCCATTTGCAGCTTGTCTGTCCAATAGCTCGTGCCTCTTCTTTGGTCACCCCATCTTTGCCAAGAATGTTGAAATGGCATTGGTGGGGTTATGACACTGACCTTGGAAAGGAACATCCACCAGTTTAGAGTGGTCCAGGGAGAGTCCATTTACCAAGCAGCGGGCATTGCGCCGTTCGGCCATGATCTGAGGAAGGGAAGGGAGTGGCAAGGGAGAACATGTGAGGACTTCACAGCCCTGCAGCCCCCACGCCCCCTCAGTCCCTCCCCTCCTCCACTTCTTTGTAGAGCAAAGGTGGCAGCTAGTCCAGGGAGCAGAGGGGCCGTGCCTTAGAGCAGATCTCATGCAGGCTGGTGGCGATGTTCTTGGCGGGTGCCTCACAGCGGAACACGTGGCACTTGAGCATCTGGGTCAGCTTATCACGAGCTACGTAGGCAAAATCCCTGTTGGGGGAGGGGCACCTCAGTGTCTCCCAGTGCCATTGCTGCTGAGCCTCATCCCCGCCCCACCCACGCCCTCCCGTCCCTGGCAGCTCCTCCAGGGCTTCTGTCCTCCAGATGGTGTCCTGTGGGTGCTGCCTTCTGGCTGGAGGGCAGACAGGCAAACATGCCAAGGTTGGGAGAATGGGTGCGCACAGCGGGCAAGAAGGGACAGGGGCAAGAGTCAGGGAACCGGGTGCTTCAAGGCATGGGCTCCAGGGGCAGGAGGAGGGACAGCCAAGGTAAACAGGCAGAGTAGTACCTCTCTCTGGCTCCGGCAGCACAAGAGAGGCAAAGAAGAGAGTTAAGGAGGAGGGTCTCCCTCTGACTTCTGGGTGAGCCCCACCCCGGGATCCCAGGCCCTGCTCCCACCTTCCGCTGTCCCGCCCGACGCCCCACACACGAATGCTGACGATGGGCTGGGCGTGCAGCAGGGCCTGACTCTGGGGCTCCACCAGCTTTAGCGTCTCATCCTCCAGCTGAAGCAGCAGATCCTTTCCCTGCAGGGTCAGGAAGCGGCACTCAGGGCGGTGAACACCACCTCAGGCAAGTACGTTAGCTACGGCTGGGGCCCTTGGCTTTGGAGTTGGACCTCCAACCTGCAGGCCTCACTCTGGTAGGGGTTGCATGTGTCCTCTCTTACAGGACATCTGTATTCATCCCCACCATTGTTACCCAACCATCTCCAGGGTCCCAACCTCCAGTGGCGCTCCCATCTCACAGGGCTGTCGTGTGGGAGGCCCAGCCCTCTCTTGGGCAGCTCAGATTTCCCGCCTCAGCTCCTTCACTTCTTCACTGCATACCACCCCCCAGCTCTGCTCCTCACCTCCCCCCATCCCCCAGACATGGGGTCGTGCAGATTGTTTTTGTGGTAGGAGAGCTGACGGATGCAATTGTTGACCGCCACACTGCTGCGTCCAGGGGCCAGCTCCTCTTCAGTCATCTCCACCCAGCCCAGGGAGCGCACGGCGAAACACTGCCAGACACAGAAGTGGGGGTTGGGGAGAAAGGGTCTGAGCTAAAACGGAAGGAGGCCCTAGCGGAGGATATGGGTTTTTGCTGAGACCAGAGACGTCCCTGACTCAAAACGTGGTGGGTGAGAGGGTGTCCCAAGCTGAGACCAAGAAGCACCCCCATATAGTTGGTGTCAGAGGAGAGCCCCATGAGTACAAGGAAGCATCTGAGCCAGGCCTGGAATGGCCCTGACCAGGCAGCTGAACTGGTCAGTATAAAACTGCAGTGCCTCTCTCAGGGGTCTGTGTGGAGAAGGGGGAGAGCCCCTAGCTCAGGACCTGGGGAGCTGTCCTGAGAACACAGACGTTCCTGACACATGACACAAGAGGTTCTCTGGCCTGAGGAATGGGTATCAATCTTAAACAAACCTTGACTCCTGGGTTGGCATTCCGTGGAGGCAGCTTCTCTTCCTCTTGAGGCAATGGCTCTGGGCTATAGGCAGATGGAAATACTTGGGTACAGGGCCCCATCCACTGAGCTTTCCCAAGGCCCCTTCAGACAGAGCCAGCCACTACTACCCCACTGTGTCATGCCTGCCCACTCACCTGAGGCTCGGAGCTGGGAAGGTCAATGTCGCCTCCTCAGGATCCTTTAGTCCCAAATCCATTGGGGCCTCCTCAGTGGGTTCGTCCTTGGGGAGAGGAGAGAGGAATCAGGACCAAAACGCTGCCTCTTCTCCAGCATCCCCACTGTGAAGCAGATCCCCTCACTCACCTTCCAAAATTCTCCATCATCAAAGCCTTCTCCATGGGTAAATCCTGTCCAGGTGAGCTGAGAAGAGGAAGAGGAGCAATGATGGAGGGGGCAGAGGGCTCATCTTACTCCAGTAGGACACCCCTTCTTCCCCTGATTAAAAACAATAGGCCTGAGAGCCTCACCTGGGAGGACTCCTCTCGGGGGCTGCTCCCCTGTGAGGGGGAGGTCCGGCCCGGTGGCTCCCACTGGGTGGTCCCTGTTGGGATGTGCCAGTAGTAGGTCCCTGAGGTATCCTGTACCCTCATCCATCCAGCCGGCAGGTCGGAATCCGTCTCGAAGGCGTTGGGGTTCCAGAAGGAATCTGCCAGGTGGAGGGATTGGTGAGGGTCTGTTTACCCAACAAGCAGAAAGTACTGCTTCAGCCCAGTACCCCCACCCAAGACCCCACGTCTGAGAAGAGGTGGAGGAGGGCTCTGCACAGCATCGTTCTGCTTCCTCCCAGAGCCCACAGCCTTGAGTGACAACTTGAACAGCAGCAGCAGGGGCCGGCTGAGCGCTCCTCCTGGGCCCTGCTCCCAGACTGTGTGGCCACAGAGAGAAGGGAGGGGAGTGGGCAAACCCAAATGACCTCCTGTCACTCACATCCTGGTCTCAGGTGCACACCTACCACTCCTGCACACAAACCTGCACATACATAGCACATACCCTACTACACACCTGTGCAGCCATCCCAAACACAATGGTGTGCATACCCAGAAAATATTGAACGGCAGGTATCACATAATGGTGCCAAGGCTTATGCAGGGACAAACATACCAGCTCCAGTCATACAGTAAAGCAGACACTGAACACAGACAGGTGCACTCTCACACAGCTACAGATACCCACCCCCACCTGACATATGTGCAGAGACCACACCTATTGTGACCCCCAACACATGTATAAGTACCACATCATGAATGCACTCAGATGCACAACATATGCCAACCTCTGACATGTGTGTGCAGACATCACAGATGCTCACACCCTGACCGTGCCACACGGTCGCAGGCGAACCTTTTGTGTGCATACACACACAGCATGCACCTGTGACATGCACCCTTCCTCCCCAGGGGAGGGACTCACCACTCAGCCCCACAGACCAGCTCATGCTGCCTCCACCTCTGCTCTCCCAGCCTGCCCCACCCATGTCATGCCCAGCCCCTGCTCCCCTCACCTGGGCTGCTGTCCTGCAGGATGATGGCCAGGAAAAAGTCCTGGGAGAACATGGCGCTCTTTCCCAGCCCCTCCTGCCGCCACCCTCCCTCCTCAGGTCCCTCCAGTCCAGCCAGCTGGGCTCACAGCCTGGTGCTGGGCTGCAGAGAAAAGCTCATCCCGCCCCCTTCTCACCAGGGCAGAGCGCCTGCCAGGCAAGATCCTCCCCCGCCAGGAGCACACTAGGGAGGGGCCAGGACCACCACAGGCAGGCCTGTCCTTGGGGTGGGGAGAGTGTGCTGAAGCACCCCAGCCCTTTCTGCTCACAGCACTCTCCAATCCTGGCTCCCCTCCCCCAACCCTGAGTGTCCATTCCAGCCCACTGTGGTCATCTCACTGCCTCAGTCAAGCCCAGTCTTAGGGACACAGGAGACTGGCTCCCTCGGGAACACCCCAGACACCTGGGGCCCTGCAAAGCCTAGAGCTCTCAGCACAAACAGGGTGTGGCTTCAAGGCTCCCAGGGATCCACCCTGGCCCAGGACCTGCCCAGCTTTTTGGGCCTACCAGGGACCCTGAGGGCCTGGGTCCCAGCAACCTTGAGGCTGGGCTTGGGGCTTCCCAGCACTGCCCCCCCTCACCTGCCAGGGCCCAGCTAGGCTGCAGCGTCTCCTCGGCAACCGCAGCACCAGGACCGGCTGGGAGCGCCCAGACTGCTGACGTGCTTCCCGTTACCAGGGAAACCAGGAATCCTGACTGGTCCAAGAGGCAGCACTGAGGGACAGGCGGCGAGGCGGTCCCCAGACCCAGGCTGCTGAGCAACCAGGGCGGGTGCACGGGGCAGGGATGGGTGTGGTTATGCCAAGCAGGCCTCACACCTGATGTGAGAGATATTTGGACAAAGCAAGGTGTCTCACCATCCTCAGCTTCCAAAGGAGAGTGGTCAAGGTAGGAGGGACTGGGGGGCACCTTTTTACCCATCAGCCTTTTAGGTGGCCATTACCGCCTCTTCTCACCCTCCTCCTCCCCTCACCTGAGGCCCTAGGGAACTGGAGTACCTGTTCTTTCCCCCAAAGACCTCCCTGGGGTTCAGGGCACTCCTGCCAAACCTGATGGGAACACCAGCCCCAGCAGCTGAGCGAGCACTCCATGGCCAAGCCAGTCCTCATGGAGGATTCTATACTACTTGAGGCTAAGGGGACAAATTTACTGTCTCCTCACTGAATCACCACACCCATCCATCTGCCATCCCTGTCAGCCTGTACTTTCCTGCTTCAAAGCGCTTCATCCTTCCGATCTGTCCTGGAGGGGCTGCCTTTCCCCCTGACCATCTGGGAGGCCCTTCTGGAGTTTGGCACATCTCCCTTGGAGCACAGACCCATCCAGGCCCATGTGTGCATTTATTCAGGAGCACTATCTATGGCCTGCATGGATTCCATCAGGCCTGCAGCCATATGTTCACAGGTATTACTCACATATGCATGCACCCTCCATGGCTAAGCCAGGTGCAGGGTTTGCTCTGGAGTTAGTGAATCACCTACTGCTCCCTTTTTCTCCATCCCATCACTACTGTAGTCTAGGTTACTCATGTTTTTCACCTGGGTCATCGCAAAACCTTATAGTTGCCCTTTTCCGGGCTAGTCTCCTCCAATCCAGACTACACCCTGTAGGCCAAAGGACTGTTCCAAAATGCAACACTAATGAAGTTACTCTCCAGGTTAATACTCTTAAGGATATGCCACTTGCTCTTAGTTTAGAATCCAAACTCCTCCACACAGTTTTGTGTACTGTTACGAGTCCCTAACTTGGCTGCTTGTCAGTCTTATCGCGGACCACTCTCTACTTTCCTTCCTCTCCCTTGCTTGATCCTCACACTGTCCAAGCCCAGCCCCCCTCCCCTCCATCTTCACCCCCCCCACTTTCAGGCTACTGCAAGGGTCTCTTCCCAAAGCAGCTACTCTTACCCCTTGCCTCCCACCCCAGGCACACTGGCAGAACCCTAGCTCATCATCCTAGTGCTCATCATGCTGACCATGACTGCAGCCCGCTTCTCATCTTCCCACTAGACCATGAGAGCCATGAGGGCATAACAACTGACCCGGGAGAGCATTCTTAGCATTACTGGCACCCAGAGTGACCCCAACATCAAAAGAAAGTCCATTCACTCATCCTCATTCACCACCCATTCCTGCAGTGTATACTCAAGCATTCGAAAACCTTGTGGAGATCCTCGCATGGGGAGGAGGAAATAATTTTTTATCAATTTTATCCCATGCAGAAGTCCAGACCTCCCCTGTGGCTTCATGGTGAGGTCAATACAATCAGGGGAGTCGGCAGTGACTCACCCTCTTCCCTTGGCCGACCCCACACTGCTGCCATCAATTTCCAGAGCCACCACCAGAGTAATCCTTGACCATTTCTTGCCACGCCCCTGCCCATGCTGAGGCCTGTGCCACACACACTTCCCAGTTCTTGAGCAGCCCCCTCCTGCTACTCCCAGAGGCTCCGTGGCCCAGAACCAGTGACCACAACCCCAGGCACCACTGAGTGGCCAGACCAGGTATGATGTGGCCTCAACTTACACCCCCTAGGGCAGAGGTTGCAAACGAGCATCCTGCACACTAACACAAGCCTCAGGTAGATGGTATGTGGCCTATGCAATGCTTCTTAAAAGGCAAAATTATGGCTAATATTAGCAATTGGGGTGTTTCCTCTTAAGACCTACTTTTTGGTTTCCCTTTCAGTTACACAGGCTCCACTAAGATAGTATTTTCTTCCATCTGATATGATAAATAAGCAGGCAGAGTGGAGTGGCAGCTCTTCTCTTTCAAGGCAGCCCAGGCAATGTCACCAGCACATTCAAGAGAGGCAGTGAGACTTTGCCTTTGACAGACGTGCACAATTCCGCAAAACAGAACGCATAAACTCCCGGACTAGATCTGATCAAGGCTCTAGAACTTAGTGGCAATTATTTACAGGAAACCCAGGGAAGAGGAACGTTTTCAACACCACACCATGGGAAGTCTGCAAATCAGACCTGGGAAACTCAGGACAAACAGCACTGTAGCTTCAATTGAAAAAAACAAAACCTTCAAGCACTAATAGAGATGAATGGAAAACTTGGAGGTGGAAAGAGACTTTAACAGCTCTATCAATCAAAAGTTTAGGACTTATTTGGAAGGATTTGAATAAGCAAGACTTTTTTCTAAAGGCCAGGGCGTGGGGAGAGGGGCCAGGCAGATATTTACTCGACAACTGGGGAAATGTAAACATCATGATATTAAGAAACTGTTAAATTGTTGGAAGCATGACAACAGTATTGTGGATTTTTTACAAGAGTTTTATCTTTTAGAAATGTGTGGGTCAACATTTACAAATGAAGATATTTGCTTCCAAACAACGAGGCTGGGTGTGGAGCAGGTAAGGGTAGGGACGGGCAGGCTTAGCCCTGTGTGGCAACAGCTGAAACTGGGTCGTGGGTAAAGTGAGCGCCTCACTCTACTTCCTCTGCTTTTATTTATGCCTGAAAACGTCCACAATACGTTTAATGTGCTTTGGAAAGGGGGTGGCGTGTTGCCTCTGGCTCATCCAACTGCACGCTCCATGCGAAGTCCACACTGGGGCCTGGAGTGTCGGCTGCCAGGCGGGGCAGCAGGGCAGGTCTTCCCTGACCTCTGTTTACTCACCATCCACAGAACTCTGGGCTGCAGCCACGGCCATCAGCTGACCTCGGTTCTGTCTACACCACTGCATGGCATTACCAGATGTGGAGACTCAACTTATTTAAGTGGGATGTATTTAATGATCAGTCTTCATCCTCCTGATACTTATTCCCCACCATGAGTATATGTTTATTCTCCCTATGTCTCCTAATTACTCTTCATTTGCTTCTTATCCTATTCCGGGTAAAGCACTATCCTGGCAATACCACTGTGGTACTCAGCACACAGCAACACTTTCCAAACAGACCTCCGTGGGGGTGCACTGCTGCTCCCCCCAGGCTTGGCCTGTTAAAACCTGGCCCAAGCGCACCTCGGTGCATCATGCTGGGCATCAGTGGCACAGTAACCGGGCCAAGAGCTCAGGAACGGACTCAGGCCCAGTTTAGATATCAGCTCTACTGTAACCTCAGACGGTCTGTGACTTTCAGAAAGCTACTAATCCTCTTCAGGCCTCTTTTTTGTCATCTGTAACAGGACACAGTATCAAGCTCACAGCATTACTGTGAGGATTAAATAAAACACTGTCGAGCCCGGGGCCAGACCTGCTCAATGCTCCATAAACAGACGTGTCCACTGTCCAGCAGGGTGAGCATGACAGATGGTCCATCAGCTTGTTCCCGCACCCTCTGAACATGGGAACGGTTTCCTTAGGCAGCCTGAGCAGGGCCTGCCGAGGACTGAGGACATGACCTCCTGACTCATGCCCTGGCCTCTGTACACAGAGGATGACCTCTCCCCCTGCCCTCCCACCCCCCACACGTTAAGCTCCACAAGGTACCTGTGTCCTCTGGGGAGCCATAGGAGGGGCTACCCTGAGACAAGGTGGCCCAGCTTGAGTCCTCATCACTGGCTGCACTGTTCCGCATGCCAAACAGGAGGCTGGCGCTCTTGCTGTGATCCCGGGGGCCATCTGCAAGGGCCTGGGGCCCAGGGGGCACCTCCGAACTCTCCAGGGGCTCCGGCAGTCCTGGGGGAGAAGACAAGTCCTCCTCCTCCTCCTCTTCCTCCTCCTCCTCATCCTCATCATCATCTTCCTCGGCCTCCCCTGCTGCCTTCTCCTCTCCCTCATCCGGCCCCTGTTCCTGGGTGCTGATGATCAGGCCCGGTCCTCGGAGCCCTCGGTTGGCGGCATTGTGAGCAGAGAGCTCCAGCTCAGAGTACAGGTGCATCAGGCCTTTCGGGCCCAAGGGTGCCATCTCAGGCTCCTGACTGGCCTCTTCTGCCAAGGTCAAGGTCACATTGCGGTTCTGATCACGGTGGGCGGTGGCAGCCCGCCGGAGCTGGTTCTGGCCCTCCTTGAGCCACTTGGCATTGGCGGGGCCTGGCTCAGGCCCACCACCCTCCCCCATGGCACTGCGCAGGTCCTTGGGCCCCACAGCTGTGGCCTGCAGCTTGGCGTTCAGCAGCTGGTTGTGAGCAGCGTGCAAGGGCAGGGGAAGGCTCAGCGAGGGACCTCCGTGGCTGTTGGCGTTAATGACCGACTGGCTCAGTGACGATGGAACAGACATGGCCTTGGTAGATCCTGTGGGGCGGGAAGGGGAGACCAAGTTGAGCTGCCAGGTGAGGATAGCAGCACCCCTACTTCTGTCTCAGGCTGTGTCCTGTCCCTACTCGTCTCCCTACACTCAGCTGGCTGGCGCACGTTGCTCCATGTCCTCTGAGCTGCTTCCCCACATAAATGATTAGGCTTAACTCCTGTCCCCCATCACTGTCACCCCCTCAGTCACCACCCCCGAAAGACCAGGGCCAGGCCTGAAGCCCACCCATCCCCAAATTCCCCAGGCCCAAGCTTTCTGGACAGCACAGCTGGCCACTGCCTTGCCCTCACTGCCAACTGCAGAGCCTCCACACAATGGCTCCCTGTGCCTCCCCAACCCCCGCTCATCCGACTGCTGCTCACTGTGCCAGGACACAGCAGCGTGGGACTGGCTCATGTGCTCTGGGTGCCGGACACGGCCTGCTCCTCCCTCCTGCCACGTGCTAACCAAAGCCCCGCCACAGTGCACAACCAGGCTGCGGCACCATCATTGCAAATCAGTAGTCTCTACCACTCTCCAAGCCACCCCACACTAGGAGTGAGGCGAGCAGAGCAGACCAGCCTTAGGCCAGGGCCCTAGGAAGGCAGGTCACAAAGGAAGGGTCTTCAGCTCCTATCGAGGCTCTTTGGCCTGCTGAACCTACGTTTTGGTGACTGCTTTTATAAAGTATCTCTGGCAGCAACTCCAATGCCCCCAGACCAGGGCCATTGCAGAAGCCTGTGGTCTGGCCCCTCAGGCCCCTTCTCATTGAGGCCTTTCACTGCATACCCTTGTAACACTGTGGACCACCAGACCCGTCGGTCATCACCAAGCACCACCTGACAAGCTGTCATTATTCACTTTGTTTAATGGATGTCTCCTCAAAAGTGCAATTTCAGCTCCATGGCAGTGGGGAGGCTGTCTTTTTTCCCCAATGCAGTATGCCTAGAGCAGTACCATCCTGGCACAGAACAGGAACTCAGCAAGTGCTTTTTGAATTAATGGAGGCCTCCCCGCCCCAGCTCTTCCAGGGCCATTTTAGCATCTCCTCAGTTTCAGACAGCACACTTTGCTGTGTCCTAATGGTTGCTCATGGTACCCCACAAAACACACCCACCCTTCAGGTGATGAGGGGATCTCCAGTTCCACCATGACAGCTCACTGCCAACCCTACCCCTCAGAGTCCCCCATCCCTCCTCACAAGCCCTTCCTAGACCACCTCTCCACAAGCCCCATTGCCTCCGTGACCCTCCCCAAGGGCCCACCCCTCTTCCCTGCCCCCTCTCACATCCCAGTGCTCTACCTCTGCCCTTCCCGGGACTACCCTAAGGAAGGGCTTGCACCCTGAACCCTCCTCCCATTCACTGTTCATTCTCCCTGACCAGCCACCGCCAGTTCTCTCCCACTCTGACCCTCCCAGACAGCTCAGCCCCAGCACTCACTGCCCCTTCACTGAGCCCCACCCTCCAAGTTCTCTCTTCCTTTTGGCCTCTCCCCAGGACACAGCTTGCCCAGCTGCCTGTCCATACCTGCAAGGCACACCTTTCTCTCTGGTTCCCGTCTACCATTTTTTCTGCCTCTCACCTGAGAGTTCTCCCTCTCCCTGTTGCCCACTGATGAGTTCTTTCCCTAACCCGTGGTCACTGGCCCAGTTCTCTCTGCGTCCTCAGGCTAGTGCTCAGATTAGGTATTTTAGGCTCCTCGAGCAAGGCTCTGCCAAACTCAGAGGCACTGCTTGCCCCTGAGCAGGCCACAGCTCACCCTCTGCATCCTGCAGCTCCTCAGACCCCAACACAACACAATGCCTGTAGCTATGGAACAAATAAAAGGTTCCTGGCCGGGTGTCTGCCCCATGTGTAAGTGTTGGTCTGCTTAGTTTTGCTCCACCTAGACAATAAGGAAACCTATGGTCACTGGAATAAATGAGAAAAAATAGATGGCTCCGCCTCTCCCCAGAACCACAGCGATCTTCCAAAAATGGAAACCAGATTGTGTCACTCCCCAGTTTGAAAAATTAGAAAGCTCTCTGCTGTCTTTGGGATAATGTCTGTACTCACTAGCAGGAAGCCCAAGTGCCACCAGAGCCAATCCCTATGACCTATCGCACCTCCTCCTCGCAGTCTCCCTTCATACCTTACCAGACACAATTCACAAAGTAGATTCTAAAACGTGTTATACACCACCAGCCCTGGCTCCCTATTTATACTGCTCGCTCATCTTAGAATCTGTCACCTCTTGTGAGAACCTCTGCTCACATTTAAAAACGTAGCTCAGTGGTCACAGCTCCTAAGCATTGAGTCTTTCCCACCCAGTCCTCCCTCCCCATCTCCAAGTGACCGTCCCCTCCCACATCTCTCACAGTACCACTTTATCAGAACACTTGAGACCAGGCCCCATTCCACTTGCAGTCCCGCTACCAAGGAGAGCGGGTGCTAAGATCTGCCGCAGAGTGAGCCTCCATGTGGAAGGAAGGAGGGAAGGCTGGAGGACACAGAGACAGGGTGAGAGGAGCGAGGTGGCTTGGAACTAGCTGGGAGAAGATACTAAGAAAGGCTGATGTGGCCCCACAAGCTGGGATGGGCAACAGGAGTATTAGAGAGGATGCTGGAGAATGATGAGGGCTCCCTGAACGGAAGTAAGCTAGGGCAGAGGTTGGTGAGGGCTCAACGCTAAGGAAAAGGGAAGGGGTAAATTAGCTTAAGCTCACATCCTGGCTGGAAAGCTGGTCAGCACTGGCATCTCCATGAGTACCTGGAGGCAGAAGGCCCCGGATCTCTGCAAAGCTCAGGGGCAGAGGACAATGATCCCCTCTCTCAAGCACTGGGGAGCCAGGTTCTCAGCAGTTAGGACTGGACTGACCTCCTTGGCACTTGGAAACGTGCCCCAGGAACAGCACAGCCTCTGTGAGGCTGACACGGCGAGAGTCGGGCCCAATTCAAGGCTACCCTAACCGTCCCTTCTTCTGTCCCAGTGAGGCCAGAAAGCGTGTTCTCTTATGAGTGCTGAAGCCAGAGCATGAGCAGCAGCAGCGCAGGGTGCCAAGTATCTCCAAAAAGTGTATGACCCAACATCTCTCCTCTAATTGGGGGTATCAAGACCTAAAGCCTCTCAAAGGAGCAGAACAGATTCTGATTCAAGGTAGGGAACTGGCTGGTAGCCTTGGAGCGCCAACTGAAACAACAGCCACCAAGCCTGGAGGAAGATTTATCAGACCACAGGGGTGGGGTGAGTTCTGCTCAAGGTCAAGGGTTTTCTAACCTGACTACCAACTATCTGTGAGGCACCATGCTAGGCATGGAAGACAGTGACAAATAGTGAAGAGAAGGCTCTTCCCCAGTGGAGCCAAGTCTACGGGTAAAACAGTCATTGACCAACTCACTACACTGCAGCAAATATCAGTATACAGGGAGAGTATCCTGTTGGTTCACTGAGTGACTGAGTATCATGAGGAGGGAAGAACAGAAAACCACAGGAGCCTGAGGCTTACTCCAGCCTAGACATCAACAAAGACCTGCCCTAGGAGGTAACTTTCAAGCTGAGGAAGACTACAGCTGTAGTGGGACCACCCCCTTCACCACTCCTGCCTCTCGAGGATCATCCCCCACTCCTCACTCACATGGGAAATGCTCCCCAGAGGTTGGGGAACATCCTCCAACACATAACATCACTGATTCAGTACCTAACTTCTGCTTAAAATCAACGGCTGCCAGGTGGGCACTTCCTCTCATGTCTTTCCAGGCCTTGTAAACCACTATTTCTCCATTTTCTCCTCTATGTAATCAAACTCTTCTTCTAAATGGGACCGATTATCTCCCAGCTTAAAAGCAGAATCTTTCTTGACCCAACACTCATCCAGCATCCTTGCTGCTTTCTTGTCTGTCCCGCACCAGCCAATTTCTTGAAAGCGGTGCCTCTCCCCACTGATGCCAGGAGCTCGCCTCTCATGGCTGCCATTCCTCACTCCCTCCCAGTCCTGCTTCCACTCCCGATACACCTCAGTCACAGCTCCTACCAAGATCAACATGACCCCTAAGTCATTTCATCCATCAGACACCTGGTTGTCCTCTCAGCTGCATCTGACTCCAAGGACCTCTCATCCAACTTTCATCCGTAGTGTCCCCTTGCTTCGTATCTGGGTTTTCTTCCTATCCTCCCGTTACTGCTTGTGGCTTTTTAGACTCCTTTACTGGTTCATCTTCTGGCCAGCCATGGCTTCAGCTTTTCCTGGCTTGGCGTATACTCTCTTCTTTCTCCACACCTGCCATCCTAGAGAGCTTGAATTGAACGTTCAGTCATGACTGGAACTCCAGTTATTACCAACACACTGATGATTTCCAAATTGACTTCTCCATTTCAGACCCCTCAGCTAAGCTCCAGGCATGTACATTCGCCTTTCACTCAACAACTCAAAGACTCCTCAAACTAATACGTTACCACGTTTCTCTCCCCCACACCCTGGCTGGGCTTCTCTGAAGATCCTGGCTAAAGGACTATGACCACCCATCTTGTGGTCATAGATTTTCTATTTACCATTCGTGACACTGCACTCTCTCTCATTCCCCATATTCAGTCCATCCTCAGATAATCACACTTTTCAAGAAAAACATCTGGACTGCGTTACTCTCCGCATTCACTACCTTCAACAATCTACATCAAGACAAGATCTTAAGATCAAAATTCTTAATGTGGTCTAAGCTTTCCTGCTCAGTCTGACCTCAGCTTCCTCTTCAGCTTTGGCACTCTGCTCTCTAGCCTCACTGGTCTTCTCTTGATTCTTCGAAGACATCACATTCTCTTCCTCCAGAAGGTGTTTGCGTATGACTTCCCGTCTCCTGGAACCTTCCTCCCCTACTCTCTCAGCCTAACAACAACTCATCCTTTGCATCTTAGTTCTAATTTCATGCTCTCAGAGAAGCCTTCCTGGACCCTCTCTCCCTATACCCCAGCTCACTTCAGCTTGTACTGTTGAATGTTCTCAAGGTATCAAACACCTTTGCTTCGTGATAAAATTACAAATCATATTTGTCATCTTACTCTTATTCTATTTCCCTCCTAGATTGTCAGCTCCTTGGGGACAAATGAGATTTAGCAGTGAGGTAGAGTGGGAACAGAGGGAGGACAATTCAGCTTGAGACCTGCAAGCCTGCAATTCCTGTTGGACTTGAGTTCTGAATCTGGAGTTCAGGAAAGCGGTAGGGGCCAGACATACATTTGACAATCGCCAGCATATGAAATGTGAAGTCTTGGTAATAAATAAAACGCCCAAGGAGAAAGTGTAGAACGAGAGTAGACAATTTAGGATAAAATCAAGATCCTCCCCAAAATCTAAAGGCAGGAGGAGGCAGCAAATGAGAATGAAAGAAGGAGACAATGCCATAGGCGACAAACAGGAAAATGTTTCAAGGAGAAAGAGTTGACACAAGCCACTGAACAAGGTACCAGGGGATACCGGGAGAGTGTCTGCTGGCCGCCAGGAGGTCTCTGGTGACCTTGGCTTGAGCAGCTTCAGTTGGTGTCAGGGGAGCAGACGGAGTGGAGTAGTTTTAAGAATGAATGGCAAGCGAGGAAATGACTGCAATTGTAGATGATGTTTTGACTTTGATGAGAGGGAAGAGCTGGGGCTAAGAGGAAGAGGCTCAGAATTCCAGCAAATACACAGGCACGTTCCAAAGATTCGGAATAACCTCTGATTTGGCGCTAGGAACACTGCTCCTGTGAGTATTAGGCCTCCAGGCTGAGCTGGGAACACGGGCGGCCCCAAGGCACACCCCTCGGTCGCTGAGGGCAACAGACTGCAGCTTGACAGATCCCAGGCCTGGGACCCCGCAGGAATCCGAGCTGCCGCTCAGCCAATCTCACTCCTCATCCCCTTCCCGGCGCTTGACCACCCCTCCCCCATTCCCCATCCCCCACCACCCCAGGCTCCGCGTCCCCTCTACCTGCCCGCTATTCACTCCGAGGCTCAGGAGGTAAGATTCCGGGAGGGGGCTAAGTGAGGACCGAGATGGCGCCTACCGGGCGAGGCCAGGGGGACGGTCAGAACGCGCACTGCGAGAGGGCCGCCCGTGGGGCTGGGGCCTGGCCGGGGGACCCGTCCACCGCGGGGAAGGGGCTTCGGGGTCCACTCTCGCTGGGAGTCAGGATCGGGTCGCCGGGGCTGATTCCGGGCAGGGGCAGCTCCTACCTGCGCGGGGAGGCCCCAGGCCCAGGTGGCGGAGGTAGCTCAGGCTGCGGGGCTCGGGTTCCGCGGCGGCTTCTCCATCACAACATCCCCCGCCCAGGAGCGCGCGGGCGCGGGGCCGCGCCCCGAGCGGCGGAGGCGCGCGCGGGGGGCGGGGGCGGGGCGCCATCTTGGGCCGGACGCGGGCACGGGCGCGCGAGCCCCTGGGGGCGGCCCTTGCCGCAACTGGCCCGAGGGCCGCACCCCGCCGAACGTCGGTCTTGGGGAGCCCCACGGACCAAACCGTCTCGCCAGCTGACGTCCCTCCACCCGTTTTTCTGGGTCCCAGAGCTCAGATCCAGCCCCCGCCGACCCCTGCCCAGGCCCGTCCCACCACCACCACCCCCACGACGAGGCCGCAGACTCACCCAGCTGAGCCCTTGCCCCGCACCCGCCAGGGGCGACGCGCGGACGAGGGGGGAGCCAGAGCGACTGTGGCCGCGCGGGGGCCGCGGCCGCGCGGGGAGGGGCCGGGCGGGGAGCTGCTCCGCTCTTGCGGCAACCCTCCCTGACGTCCTGGTGTCGAGGCAATGAGGACACGGCGGCGTAGGGGATAATAATAGCGCGTATTTATTGACCGCTTACACTGTGCCAGGCTCCGTGTTAAACCCTTTATACGTATTCATCTTCACATCAGCCCTGTGAAGTCGCCACTCTTATCCTCAGTTTTCAAAGGCAGCTGCTGAGATTCAGAAAGATGAAGCCACCAGCCTGCAGTCACAAGTGATGAAATCAGACTGGAACCCAGATGTCTCTGAACACCCCTTCCTCTGGTGTTGAACATTAAGTTGAGACACCAAGCCCTCACTAATGACAAGAAAAAATTACTCCCCCATCGAGGTTCAAGGGGGGAAGAAAGAAGGGGAGAAATGGGATAAGTGTGAAGGAGGGGGTGATGGGTGCAATATTACTGCAGACTCCCCGGGTGGCAGAGTAGCTCCCAGTGGACAGATCAGTGACCCAGCGGCCATCAAGGACAATGAGGGGAAGTGTTTCCATCTAGAAACCCTCTCATGGTTCATTCCTCTAAGACAGAGATTATAATTTATTAATCCTGCTAATATATTTGAACAACTGACTGACAGTGCCCTCAAAGTACCTAATCTAAAGGTATCCAAACATAAATTCATTATTTGATCTCTTTATTGGCATTTTAAGTAGTTTCACTGGGGTGAGACATAATCCTCCCCAACACACACACACACATACACACACACACACACACAAGATGCAGCTCCATCTGTACCAGTGAATGCACCACTACCTGCTGGCTTGCATGAACTAGAAGGTTCAAGATCATCTCCAACCTTACCTTCTCTTGATGTAAGGCGAATAAAATTCTGTTAGCTTTTTATTATGGAACATTTCAAAAGGAGACGAGATATAAGAAAATCTCATATACTCATCACTCCGTTTCAACACTTAACTCCCAGCCAAGTGCTCATTAGAATCACAAATCTCTGTGATATGTGAAACATATATCAGGTCTCAAACTAGGTCCAATGGATGCAAAGATGAATCATGTTTGACTGTAACCCACCTGCAGACAACTGACCTCATTCTTTGGAAAATGAGTATAAATTACCTAGAATAAGAAAAGGGGTCTCATTCATTCATTCTCTTTCCACAAATTAGCATGTGAGGCACTGTCCTTGGTGCTAGAACACATAAAGAAAGGAGATGTGGTCTCTGCCCTCACAAAGCTTGAATAACAGGAAAGAAAGATTAAACACGATCAGAAAGTTGATGAGTATCTGGAAGATATACAGGAAACTATGTGAGTGGACTAAATTTGCTCTGGGGGAGGTTTGAGAAGCCTTTCAATAAGGAAATGAGTCTTATGTGAGGGAAAGGGATGAAAGAAATAGAGGTCAGCCAGAAGAGAATGAGTCAAAGGAGAAATATAAGAAGACCAGTACTGGTGTGATAGTGGGGAAGAATGGCAAAAATAAGCTGGAGAGTTTAGTATGTTCCAAATCAAGGACAGTCTTGTGTGTTAGGCTAAAGGGTCTGGACTTTAAGGGTAGTGGAAAGTCATGAAGGATTTGAAGTGTGCTTACTCTTGCATTTTAGGAAATCACTTCCAGCTGCTAAGTGGAGATGACATAAAGGAGAGCAAAATAAGAAGTGTGGAGACCAGTTAGGAAACAATGAATGGAATCTAGGTGGGACTTGACTATAATGGGAGAGCAGGGATGAAGAAAAACAGCATTGTTTAATAAATATTCAGTTAGGAGTAGTCACAGAAATTTACAATTGAATATTTGAGGATGAAAATGTGGAGAATCGGGTGACTTCTTATTTATGCTTGAGCAAATGAAAAAATTCAGACATATCATCTGTTTACAGATAGCAAACCAGAATGCATGCCATCTCAAGTCCATTCAGCATAATGGCTGTAATAAGGACATCTCTTCAGGTATAAGAGGTCCTCAGATGGGATATTGAGAGTGGGAAGATAAGAGTCCAGGTGGCAAAATGAAAGTGTGCAGTTCTTACACAGTACAGTCTGACCCATGCACAATCTTCTGAATGCCTGTCTTATAGGTCTACAAAGCCTATTGTTCAATCGGGATTCAACCTGAGCTCATCAGCCATCCTTTCTGTACTGTATCTTTTCCCCTTTGATGCTCTCTATGGCCCAAGAAGAACCAATAGCCCATGAACCACCTCAAATGCTACATTGAAGTCTGACCAATGTGGAGGTAAGGTCAATTCCTCTGCAGCAGGAGCCTTTTAAAATTATTAAATTGGAGTGAGGAAAAAATTAACTTAGAAGTAAATCCATCCAGAGTCACTCACTAAGAGAACTGGCTTTATGTGATTTTGCTTAACTGACCAGTCAGTTAGCAGTAGCAGGCAATTGGTACCCAAGTCGCCTTCATGAAAGAATAAAGTTTTCATCCTCATTAGCAGTAAAGACAGCTTTTTCCATCACTACATAGAAGCATTGCTTTCATATTGTTATTTTTCTTATAGTTGGTTCGATAAACTCTCTTCTGGATGGAGTAAAATAATCCCACATATTACATGGCGTGGACTCCACAGTCAGATGCTAGGTCTGGCAAGGGCTTCCTCAACTCATCCTCCAAGAGGACTATTCTAACAAATTCCCAAGAAGAGTGCATAAGGTAAAAAGAAAAAGGACTGAGGCTGAACTCTGAGACTGCTAGCATTTGAAAAGCCAATAGAGGAAAAGAAGGTCAAGAAGAAAGCCGAGAAGAAACAGAAGAGTAAGAGAAGAATCAGGAGACGGTAATGTCATGGAAGAAATCCAAAAGAGGAAAGAATTTCAAGGAGGAAGGAGTGGTCAACAGCATCAAGTGTAGCAAAGATTTCCAATAATGTCAAGGAAAGAAAAACTACCTTTGAATCTGGAGTCATGGAGGTCATGGACCCCATAATATGATGCATTTAAGCAGAAAATAGGGGCAGCAGCCACAGTGCAATGAATTGAGCAAATGCAAAAGCCAGAAGTAAAATAACATTTAGAATCCTTTTAAAATTTTTCAAAGAAGGAACCCTCCCTGGTGGCACAGTGGGTTAAAGCACAGCACTGCAAGCTAGCCACAGCTACTTCAGTGCAAGTTTTATCCACGGTCGCAGCAGTGACCCACATGGTGCAACAGACCTCTCCTGTCTTGCTCGCTGCTCCCCTCAGCAGTGTACTTTGTCAATCTGCCTATTCTGCTCCCTGCTCCCCACTCTGTCCCTGGTGAATTCTCTCACCACCCCTGCTCCTTGACCTGTACCCCAGTTCTGTCAGCATAAATAAATAAATCTTTTTTAAAAAAAATTTTGAAGAAGGAATAGTCAGTAGTTGGAAATTTATATGAAGTTAGAGATTCTGTTTTTGTTTTTTTTTTTTAAGGTAGAGACTTACCCATGGATATAAACACAAAATGGATAACTATAGATATAAACACCAGTCAAGTGAAAGGATTTGAAAATAATGAAAAAGAAAATAAAAGATGGAGCAAGATCTTGGTAGTGATGAGAGGCATTGGAATAGTGGGCAAATATAGGGGAGTCTGTGGAAGGGGTAGGATGAACCTGAAGGTATAGGTGGGGTAATTAATATGGTGGGAGCAGGCGAGATGTTCGGTTATTTCATGACAAGTGATATCAATATTTCCAACGTCTTTAAACTGAGGAAATGGAGGACTAAGTGGAGAGCAAGATAAAACTTATAATTGTTACTATTTTGTTATCTGCCCAGTGTCTATTCTCCTTTTATAGGTAACAGCACATCAGTTTCCTTTGAAGACTCATCCCCTCCTCTCTCTACTTTGATGTGGTTCAGATGGGAATAAGCTCAGTCCCTTAAGTCCTTCATTGTTGCTAACCCAGGATTGACCCATCAGCATCAAAGTGATCAATTCAGAAATGGCATGCAACTAAATTCTGAATAGTGAAAATCAGATCCAGGATTTTTCCTACAATTATTGAATGTTCTGCTAGAATGTAGCCTGGGAGGACATACACTAGGAAGGTTAAAGCCTGCCTAACAATGGAGCCAACTCAAAGAAAAATGAGCTAAGGGATGTCGAGAGAGATCGAGACCTGATAATCTCCATGTGTAATCTCTATTTACCATTGCCTGAAGTCACATGAGTCAATAGATCTCCTTTCACTCATACTACTTTGAGTTGGTTTTATCACTTGCAATCAAGAGTTATGATGAATGTATGTGGCAGAAGAGCCCACATCCAATCTTGTATAATTTCTCCTGTACCAACAGGACTGGAAATCTGAAAAACACATTTCTCAATTCCCTTTTCACTTCTAGTTAGTTCCTGCCAGTGGGACCCCTCACTTGAGGTCTGCAGGGGGGAGGAAGGGAGAACTCCTTCTGCATCTGGCAGTGCCTCTGGCACATGCAGACAAACAAGGAGGCAATTTCAGAAACACCTGCTCACAGACTTCATTTTTATGGAGATTAACATCAGCAGTCAGTACAAATTTGTGGTTTCCTTGATTGTTGAGCAATACCTGTTCTCACTTATGCTCCTCTAAACCAAGATTAACAGTAGCTTCTAGGCAACCCTGCTTTCACTCTTAAGCTTCTCCCTCCTCCACCATTTGTAACAAGTTCCTTATATTAAATATTTTTCTACCTAGACTATGTAGAGTGGTTTCTGTACTTTCATGAACAATGAGTGATACTATAACCATTCCTATTTTGCTTACACAGGTGCACGTACATACAAGACCCAGAGAGAATAAGATGTTCAGATGTATAGAATTAGCCAGTGACCTAGTTGGGTCTGGAATTCAGACATATCTTGGTTTTTGTTGTCTTTTTCTTTTATATGACTACATTAAATTGACATTAAAGGAGGCAGAGAAAGAAAAATGTTGTGCGAAAAGTTCAGTTCAGATGGTCAATCATAATTTCAGTTTGGTTAGGAAAAAAATGGCCTAGAGAATGGAAGATTCGCAGATAATAAAGGGATCAAGCATCTCTATGAGGTCAAAAAGGAGGAGAGTGAGAATGCAATTATGATGAGGCAGAAAGAAATGGATTGGAGGAAGTGGTCACAAGTGAGGTGTTAGAATTTTAGATTAATTCACAGGTGGAGCAATTGTGAATGATGAACAGGGCAGAGCTTGGCCAGGTGACATGGTCACTTGGGCATTTGGGAGGATATCATCAGAGGCTGGTGGTTGATTACCATAAGCTGGTATGATGCGCTTGCATGTTGCCAAAGGAGGAGGAATTGAATGAATAGAAAGAGAAAGAGTAATAGCACCAGTATTATGGAGTCATGCTAGCGATGATTCTGCTTTCCATTCATTTGGGCTGCTACCGGGAAAGGAAGAAGGGTTCTGGGCAAAGCTTGGTCTCAATTAGAGATAGAGGTAAAGAGAAAAAAGCTCATAAACAAGAGTATGAATTGAGAGGGCATTGTGGAAAGTTTGGGAAGAGGCAAAATAATGAGTAGGGAAGAGGAGCCATCAAGCAGTTTGGAGGTGGTATTCCCACCTCTCTCACATCTTCCTGGGCCACCTATCAGCCCCAAAGACTATCTTCTATTTTTCCATCTGCCTACTTCTCTTTATCTTCTTTACCACCCAGGATCCTGGCCTGCACTACCTTCCACCACAGCACCCACCTCCTCAGGGGCTGTTCATGCCCACTGAGGTCTATCACCCAGTAGTAGAAATTTATATTTCTAAAATATAAATTTATCACTTGACTATCTTGTCTAAACCTCTCAGTCAGCCTCTGTAGCTCCAAAGATCAGGAAAAAAAAAAACCCTAGCCTGACATGGAGGTGCCCTGTGAGCCAATAAGCCCCTACCTCCTCCTCCCACCTCATTTCCCACTGGCCCCTCTCTCACACTCATGCTTCAGTGTGCTGAGCAGCTGCCTTGCCCACCTCTGGGCTCTTCTCCCTGCTGTCCTTTGCCCCTGTTTCTTCCTCTGCCCATGCTGCTCCCTGGCATTGGGGTACACAGTAGGTAGCAAATGCCTATCTGCTAAAGAAATCCTACTGGTCTTTTAAAACTCAGCTTAAGTGTTGTACTGTTTATGAGCACTCTCTACTCCTCCATCCCAGGTATTGCTGGTTCCACTCTCCTCTGTAAAGATAGTCTTCCTGTTTATGTGTTTCACCTGACTGCTCAACTCTAGCAAAGCCCTTGTCTGTGGGCTCCTCCTGACTGTGATAGAGGGGAGATTCTTGGGGTTAGGAGCCATCTGATTAGTCTTTTTAGCCCATTGTGTGACACTGTGCTCTACCTGTAGGAGGTACTAAATGAGTGGATAGGAAAAGCATGAGTGGCACCTTTTCTGGAAGTTCTTTGGAGACAAACTAGAGGCTTTTTGTAATGGAACAGGTGGAAAGAAAGAAAAAAGAAAAGAATTAGTACTCCCCTTTAACCAAAAGGAGGAAGTGAACCTTGAGTGCCAGATTTGCTGGATAGCTGTTTCAGCACCTTTAAGCTCCCTGGAATGGTGATCCAGCTGTAGAATGTGGGATGAGTAAGTTCCAGGCTTGAATTCTGGCTTTGTCCTCACCCCTCAAGTTGAAGGAGGGGCTGTAGTCTTCCTTGGGCAAACCATCTTAGATATCAACAGCAACGAAAAGGAAAGCTCAAGATATTCCTTGGGGTGGGAGCCCACAGGCCTGGTGCTGGCCTCTAAGCTCTATTCTTAGCCCCATCCACCCTCACATCCTGGGTGAACCCTATCTAACTGGCCCAGATTCAACCCCTGCGTCTGCTCCCAGCCATCTAAGCTGATGAAGAAATTCGGATGATTAGTTCTGAACTAATAGGGCCTAAAACCCATCAAGAACCACTATTTATCCTGGTCTCCCATTGCAAAGCCCTTGTGCAGTCAGAGTTTGTCAGTCATCTGTTCTAACCATCACAAAGCAAGGGGCTGTCAGGTTAGGAGAAGCAGGTGCAGGTGAGGCCATGGGCCATGGTCTGAGTCTATTTCTAGGGCTCCTTGCTGAGTCTATCCAGTGGTGAGTTTGACTTCATATTCATTGTCACTAGGAAATAGGCAATATCAGCCCCATTTCACAGAAGACGTTATTGAGGCAAGGGCATGGAAGCTCGGAGGGAGTGTCCCTTCTAAATCTGAGGCTAATTTTTGTGCCCCAAAATAATAAACAAAACTTCGACTTCAGCTGGGTTGGAATGGTAGAGGAAGAATAGCAGCTCACCTGTAGCCCAGCCCAATCCCGAGTCAAATAGGCATCAGAAAGTGTAGAACTTAACCCTTGGTCAGTGTACGACCAGAAAAGAGCCAAGCATTGTAGTCTCAACCGAGGTAACATTCACTGTGCGAACATACAGATACCCAGGGGACTGACAGGAACCAGAAGACACCCCTCCCCCCAAGGGAGGGGTGTGTTCGGCAAGTGGACCTCATAAGGGCCAGTCTGGATAATTCCTTCTCCCCTCACCCAGTCTGCCTCTGATAGAGGCCATGTTTCTGCTTTCCCACCTTTACAGCTTTCCACTTGTTAGACCTCCTCTTCTGACATGGTGTTATCTGGATGACCTGGACTCGGGATTTGAGCATCCCAATGGCCCCCTGAGACATCTCTAAACCAGTGCACAGCTGACCCCCCCCACCCCACCAGATGCCCTAGGGCCAAGCTGTGGTCAGGAACCTGACCTGCCTCGTATTTGCTGTGTAAACAGGATAATCCCTTTCACTACTTTTTGGTCCTGTTTCCTTCTATGTGTCTATAGTCTGCAAGAAACCAGTTTATAATCTGGATTTAGGAATCATCTATCCACAAATGAGGTTTGTCCTTCAGCCCTCCCCTTGCTCGCCTCCCACAGTCTCATTTGAACTTCAAAGCTGCAACAGAGATGTTACTAATTCTTCAATTCAAAGAAAGACATGAGATCATTCCACAGCCAGGGCCCCTTCCTTTAAGCAGAGCAGCACTCTGGCTTTATTGTAAAGAAAACAGTGAGAAGAGCCTGGGCCAGGGTCCACCAGGAACCTCTCAGTGCCTGCAGCCCAGGAGGCTCCCCACTCTCTGTGCCTGGGGGAGGACTTTGGCTGCACTCAGCTTCTCCACGTCACTGTAGCAGTACAAATTGGGGCCGTGGATGAGGTACAAGTTGGGGCCACTGGCAGAACATGAGTTGGAGCCGAGGGGCTTGTCCACACACAGGGCCCCATCAACTTTCTCATGAGGCCAAGGAAGCTCCGTCCACGTGGCTTGAGCTCCCAACTTCAGATCCAGCCACCACAGCTGCCGCCCTGGGAAGAAGGCAGCAGATATAACATGGCCTCTGCACCACAGGGATCGTGACCTACCCCTTCTTGTGCCCTGCTGGGGATCATTGCCATGAATAGGTCTCCAAACAGGCCACCTCTTAGCACCCAGGACCCCCTCACCTGCTGCGATATGAAGCCGGGAAGACCCAGGACAGACAAAGGCCGCATCTACAGATGCAAGGCTGATCCCAGGAGGGCTCCCAAGTTCCTTCTCCAGCCGTTTTGGATAGCCATCTACTAGGGGATAACCCCCCTTTGTCAAGAAGATGTAGACCTGTGTGTCCTGGGAGACAAAGAACATTAATCAGCACAGAGCTGGATGGTCTCCCAGTCCCCACCTCGAGTCTCCCTGCCAAGCCTTACTTTGATCATATAGAGTTTGTCCTCCCAGGAAAAGGCAGCATCCACTGCTGAAGGGCCCTGGGTCCAGTGATGGACAATGGGCCAGCTATGCCATCCATCCCGACTGGAGTCCAAGCGCCAGTAGTGGGACCCTGTGGGTGAAAGAGGGATCGCTAGTATAGTGGTAAAAGTCTGGGCAATGAAGGGGCTAGTGACAGAGGCAGGAGTGTGTCCTGTCCTGAGAGGGTGGAGAGTGTGCAACCAGAGTCCAAGGAGGAAGAGGCCCTAACAGAAGATGAGATTAAGCCAGACTTGCTCAGAAAAACCAGGCATTGTGACCTGGTTAGAACCACAGTTGGTAGAGGCCTGACAGAAAGACAAGCATAGAGAACAGTGGCCAAGGAGCCAGGTAAGGCCAATGGCAGGGGCCTCCTATCATCTCAGATGTCCATGGGACAATGTAGATACTGAAATGCAGTGACCAGCAATAAAAAGAGAAGAGTCGGGCTCTCCGGTGTGGCACAACGGTTAAAGCACAGCACTATGAAGATATCCGCAGCCACTACAGCAGGAGTTCAATCCGGACAAGGGAGGTGACCCACATGGGACAGCAGACCTTTCCTGTCCTACCTACTGCTCCCCTCAACAGTGTATTTCGGTCTATCTGCCTATTCTGCGCCCCACCTCTGACCTGTACCCCAGTTCTTCTATGCACAAATAGATAATTTTTTTAAAAAAAAATTTTTTTTAAGATTTATTTATTTGTGCATACAGAACTGGGGTACAGGCCAGAGGCTCAGGGGCGGTGAGAGGCTTCACCAGAAACAGAGTGGGGAACAGAACAGGCAGATCGATGAAGTGCACTGCTGAGGTTAGCAGCGGGCTGGTCAGGAGAGGTCTGCCTGCCATGTGGTCACCTCCGGGCAGGCGGGAATCGAGCTCATGCGGAAGCGGCTTTAGATTCTCAGTGCTGTGCTTTAACCCACTGAACCACCGGGCCGGGGAGGGGGGGGCGATAAATCTTTTTTAAAAAATAAAAGTTTCTGTTTTGTTCTGGCTGCATTATCTACAGCAGAGGTGGCAGGAGAGAAAGAGCTGCCCAGTCAGCACCCTAATTTTATTCTCCCTTTTTCATAACGACTTATTAAAACAATTGTCTTGGTTCCCATTCACCTTTTCTTCCTCAATCCATTTCCCTTATACTTCTGTTTTCTTCCTCCATTGAAGTTGTTCTTTTAAGGTCACCGTTACCCTCCCGTTTGCCAGATCTCATGTCCTCTTTTGGCTCTAACTCTCAGCAGCATGAGACTGCTCATGACTCCCTCTTTAAGTATCTTGTTTGGATCTTGGCTTCTAAGACTTCCTCTTTTAGTCTTCACTTCACTTCTCTTTGGTCTGATATCTAATATTGGAATCCCCTGGTTTGAGCATCTTCTCCATCTATACTCACTTTCCTGGTGGTTTTACATGGTCTAAGGCTTTCGATACTGTCTACATGGTGATGACTGAGCAGTTCTTTTTAGCTCTGACCCGTCTTTTGAGTTTCAGGCTCAACCTCAACTGCTTACCTGACATCCCCATCAGACATCAAAAACCTAACCTAACACCAAAAACTAAATGGGTCAACTCTACCCCATTCACACACACACTCATGTACATAGCCCCTCCAGTCCCCTAGTCTTTTCCCAATTTTACAAAAAGAAACCACCAGCCACCCAGTTACTTAGTTCACCAATGCTAAGTCATTCTTAAAACCTCTCTTTTTCCTTTTCCCTCTCCCACCAATACCCAATACACTGGTTAATGAAGTTGGTTCAATCTCCAAATGTGCTTCCTCATCCCTTCTGCTGCTGTTACCCTAGTCCAAGCTGTCACTGACTCTAATCTTGACATCTCTGGAGCCCTGTGTACTTGATTGTTTCCCCATGACCTGAGCTCTCTAGAAGCTGGGATGATCTTTACAAAATAAGTCAGAACCTATCATAGCACTGCTCACGGCTTCCTCCTGGGTTCTTCACAGTTGGACACCCTTACCAGGCCTCTGTAGTCTGGCCCCCACCTCCCTCTTTTCAAGACACTTCCCTGCTCCTTCAATGTGCTCAAGTCATACTGACCTTCTTTCCTGATCTCTCACAATATTTGCTATCCTTCTTAAAAATGTTTTCCACTAAGTGCTTTGTGTGGCTAATTCCTCCTTTTCATGGAAATCTCAGCTCACAACCATCTTTCAGAAAATGTACCCCTCACTGTGCTCATTTCCATTCTATTATCCTGTCTTATTTTCATCACATATGTAACATTTTAAAACTTCAACAACTTTTAAATGTGTTCACATGAGCTCCAAGTGTGCTTGAGAATGAGAAATATTCTGATGCTCTCAGAACACTCACAGCCATTCATTCTACCTGGAAGTATCCTCTTTCCTTCTCTGCCTATCTCATTGTCCTCTCTCGCTCTGGCAGACACCATGAGGGCAGGTGTCTCACATGCCAAGTCAACCACTATACCCAGTGCCTAGACAACATGCAGTGCCTACTGGGTGCTCAATAAACATCTGTTGAATAAATAGGTGGCGATTTCCTTGCAGTCACAGGTTCTTTTTAAAGTTGTTTACTGGGTATGTCATGGCAACTCCACACCCATTTCCTTCCCACCCCTACTGAAACTGTCCTATGCATGGCCCCTAGTTTGAGAATCAGAGCTAAGCTGTTCTTTGCAGAAGAGCCAAGGAAGTAAGCGACGAGCCTCCAGTACATGAGTAGTTAATGCAACCACTTGAATATGTTCTGGAATAAAAATCTGCGCTGGGCCAGCCCGGTTCCCTCTCTAGAAATCCAACTAGGAAAAAGAGAGAAACTGAAGCAGTTACCAGTTAAATCTGAGGCCGACAGATCAAGAACAGAGAGACAGAATGTGTGCTATCAAAGCTGTGCACAAGCAAAAAGAATGGGTCACAAGTCAGGGAGAGAGAAAGATTTCAGAGAGGAGAGGACCTGTCCTATGCCGAGTAGGCGGCTCACACTGATGTTTTTCCCAACACAGTACATTCTCACCTCAGCTGGGGGTTTTGTGGTTTTTTTTTCCCCACATAATGGTGTTCTCTCATCCTCTGTGTTCTCTCAACAGCTGTGGAATACATCTCACACTTTGATTTAGGAGTTCAGCTATATTTTCTTCATGGTCACATGACTTTGAAGTTCTGTGATATCTCCAGGGCTAGATGTTCTACCTACATCTCTGTGTGGCCCGTGTAGTCCTTTTTTCTCAGGTGGACAGCAGACAGACAGAGAGACAGTGGGTTGCGGGAGAGAGAGCTTAACTTCTCTCTGTCATTCTGTCTGTCTTCATATCTCTTTGCTGTGTGTCTTCCCAATGGTCCCATACTCTTACCACAGCTGCATGTTTTTCTGATACTTACATGTTCTCACTCTGTTACATGTTCTCAGTATAAGTCTGAGTTTTCTCTACAGGGATGTATTTTACCACAGCTGTATGTTCTCACCACAGTGTGCATTCCTGATGTGAGGACTCACGCTCCTGTGACTGCTCCAGCTGTTTAATTACAGCTGGGAAGCCAGTATCTGATCATAGTTGCCCAAGGGTTAAGAGCTAAAAGGGATTTTTCACTATTCTAGGTCCTCACTGCTCCTTTACACTGGTGTCTGATCACTCATGTAGCTTAGGCTAAATCTAATAGCGTTGCTCACTCCATCTCGTGGAGCCTGGAATGCAAGCACAGAGCGAGACACAGAACTCCAGAGCATCTCGAGAGGTCAGATGGCTTTCATCACTTAAAACCCCAGGCCTCTGGAGGACTGTCTGCACTGGCCACTCAGATGAGAAACTTCCTCAAGTGAAGTTACCTCCTAAAAGCCTAAAGGACCCAAAACTTTTTGCTTGGGTCTCAGCAATGAGAGCATCTCATCTCCATGAGATGCTGTGCCCCAAGGCCTGGACATAGGAGTCAGGCAACTGGGGAAATACGGAGCTACTGAGAGTAAGCTCAGGGGGGAGCCTGAAAGACACATAAGAGCAAAGGGGACGTGAAAAATTATATAGAGAGGCCCGGAGAGCAAGGAGAGGCAGGGAGTCATCAGAACATTGGGCAAGAACATAAAGGGTCACAAGAACTCAGAAAGGTCCAGAGAAGACCCAGCCATGGGAGTTGCTGATACTGGGGGGTGGACTGGCAGATGAAACTAGTGGCCTGTGTGATAAAAGACAACACTGAAGAATATGCATCAGAGCGGAGAGAGGCAAGGGGCATGCTGAGGGTGGGATCGAGGGACATAATAAGGAGCGCGGTCATGAAAATGAAGGGAATGTGGCTGGGAGGTGAGAGAAATGCACGCAAGAGATGGAAAGTGTGGAGGACAGAGGTGGGGGAGTCCGGCATCTCTCACCGCTGAAGGCGTAGGTGGCGCCATGGTTGTCAGACAGCAGTGCAGACAGGACCAGATCTGGGCTGCAGCGCATATCCTTGCGGCCACTACCGCTCCCATGACCTGGAGAAGAAAAGGCTAAGGGGGAGCACAGAGGGAGGCCGGAGGCCCGGAGGCTGGCGGGAGGTTGAAGAGTCAGCTGAGGGTGTGGGTGTGGGTTTTTTTTCCCTCAGGGCAGTGGGCAAGAATGGGAACAGGGTAGGGTAAAGGCCAGGGTGTTTTACCACAGAACTGGGGGAGGGAGGCTGGGCCTACGGGGTCTGCAAACTCAGGGCAAGCAGACAGATTCCAGTGGGCCCCAGGGCTGGTGCTCTCTCACCTCTGCCAGGACAGAGCATGAAGTAGTCTCGGACATCCCGCGGGTACTGTGGAGGCACCTCTCCCGTGACGGGGCTGAAGCGCAGGAATTGGTTGCCCTGGAAGCAGTAGTAGCGGCTGAGCCACCGCAGAGCAGAGGTGCAGTTCCCAACGGCTGGCCAGAAGCGTTCCTTTTTCGTCCTGGTGGCCGTGTCCCAGAACCACGTGCGGTTACCTTTGTCAAAGCAGTCAACAAGCATTCAGTGAGGCCGGGCTCCACCTTTCCTTGTGCCTGTAGGGGCCTGCAGGTGGATCAGTGGAGCCCACCACCCTGCGGAGAGATGGATGAGAGTGACCTTGCAGTAAAATTATGAAGTAAAATGCACATGATCAGCTCATCAGAGGTAGCAGGGAGAACCAGGGAAAACTTCCCAGAGGAGATGGCACACACTGAAATCTGAAACAGGGAGTTACAAGGCAGCAAGAGAAGAAGGTGGAACTCCAGAGAGAGGAAGTCTGAAGCATGAAGCAAATTAGGTGTGCGGGGTACAGCACAGTTTCTGGAACTTTGTATCAAGATAAGGGTATGGTGAGAATTGAGGCCCTAGTGTCAGTAGGAGCTTGGTGTAGAGTATGTGAGACTAAGTATTGCAGGGGACAGTGAGACACTTCCATCTGTCTCCTTCTCCAGGATGACTTCCGCCCCTGCTCTAGACCACAATTGGTCTAGATTACTTCCCCTCCTTGAAAACCAGATACTGGCTCCACCACCACCATCACTCCCAACCCCCCCATTCCTCAAGACTCATATATTCCAGCTGGACTGACCTCGGAAGAAGAGGATGCCCTCGTCTGGGCATTCTCCACGGTGACATTCCACAGCTGCATCCACTGGAAACGGGATTCCAGGAAACTCATCTTGGAGCAACTTTGGATATCCCTTCTCCTCTTTCTCCTTCTCCCCTTTCTCCTTCTCCCCCTTCTCCTTCTCCTCCTTCTCAGGAGAGTACACCCAGACTTTATCTCCCTGCAAGCAATAGCACTTGATTTTTAATGATGTACTCCACATACAGCCACTCTGCGCTCACACACAAGATCTTCACTCTGTTACACTTGTACAATATCCACCCACAGTCCCATACACTCTCCATCCATCTGTGAACAACAACATGCTCTCCCCTTGTTTATCCCCTTTACCCTCGGTTTGACTGCAAATCCCATCAATGTTACCTTAGCACACAATCTGGACATACTACCAGACACTCCCACGGCACACTTATCTGCACATCATCAGTCTTGTAAAACGCCTTCATAAATAATCATCCTGTCATCATCTATCCATCCATGCATTTACTTATTCATTCATTCATTTCTTCACTCCAGAAACAGTTGCTGAACTGCATGTGAGAAGCACTGGGAATAAAAGGATGACAAGACTCTACCTCTGCTTTCAATTTCACTGTACAAAAGCAAAAAGAAATCCTACAATTGACAATTGTTGCCATGCGGCCACCAAGGCTGAAGCACACGAAATGTCTTGGAATATATATAGGGCGGGTCTTGGAATATATATAGGGCGGTAGATAGAAGCTTTGGAGAATGTCAGAGTCGGATGCATTCAGGTCTAGGTGAACAATGTGGAGAGCGTACGACCAGCAGAGGGAGCTCTTTGTACAGCGCCTGCTCACAGACCTCTCTGACCCAGGGAATGAGGCAGGAAAGAGGATGAACCTGAAAAGATCACCACAGAGGGAGCTCAAGACTCCCACGCACCAGAGCCTGCTGCAGTGGGTGGCCCATCATGGTGCTATTCACCAAAACGGGAGCACAGGAGGAAGGTAGGTTTGTAAGGAAGTTTCTAAATTCACTTGGGGAGACATTGAATTTGAGGTGCCTATAGAACTTCTAAGTCAGAGATGTCTGCCCGGATATTGAAAAGAGAAGACTGTAGTAGTGAGGAGAGACCCAGATGCATGAGGGCCCACGGGGCCATAGCAGCAGTTGAGGTCATTCAGGAAGGAAACACAAGGGCTCGGGTGAATCCCCAGGGAACATTCAGGGGCTAGCTGAGGACAAAAGGCAGAAAAAGAGGCCAGATGGAAAACAAAGCTGGCAGAGAGGGCCATGCAACCATACAGCATAAGCTAGAAGGTGCCTTCCCCTGACAGACACAGCCGGGCCAGGCAGGCGGCTCAGCGAGTATGCGGGCTGCTTTCCATCTTCCGCTGGCCCCTCTGCCCAGCACCACTGTGAGGTGAACACCTGGCCATCACGTAAAGATGGTCTGCTGCAGGAACCTGGGAGCCCAGGAAAGGAATGGCCAGGAAGGAGAGAGTGACTGACAGCATGGGAAGAGCAGAGCTGTCTGGATGAAGACTAGGATTGAAAAACAGCCACTGATTGGTCCTCCCTGGTGGTGCAATGGGTCAAAGCACAGCACTACGAAGCTGGCCACAGCCACTTCAGCACAAGTTCAATCCCCAGCCAGGGAGCTGACACACATGGCAGACCTCGCTCATCTCACCTGCTGCTTCCCTCACCAGTGTATTTGTCAATCTGCCTGTTCTGCTCCCTGGTGAATCCTTTTACCACCCCTGTACCTCTGGCCTGAACCCCAGTTCTGTATGCATAAAATAAATACATCTTAGAAAAGAAAATTAGCCACTGAGTGTTGGGTGGGCCACACAAACACACCTGTAGCTTGAGCTGTGGGGGAAAGGAAAGGACAAGAGGAGGAAACCTGGTCCTTATTGGTCAGGGACTCATGCCAGAACCTCCTGGGGGAGGGTCTCTACTGTCTGCACTTCTAGGCCCAGCTCTGCCCTCAGCCCAGCGGTACCTTGATCAGGAAGATTCTGTCATAGCCCTGGCGGAATGCAGCATCCACAGGGCCAGTGAAATTCCTCCAGGTGTCTGTGATTAGCTCCTTGGCCAACACGTGCATGCGATTCTTCCACACAAAGTCCCCTGAAAAATGCACTTGTTGAGTTACCCAAGCTTTGGCCAACAGAAGAAGTTACAGAGAAGCTGTGGGGCTACCCTCTGGAGATTCCTAAGATCCCCTGCGCATGGGTATCCACTCATGGGGGGACCAAATGCAACTAACCTCAGTCCCTCCTACCTTTAAAAAACAGCATGGACCCCTTGTCATCCAGGGTGGCAGCATCAAAGCTCCAGCTATCTGCACAGCGTTCTGGAGGTGGAGGTGGATGTGACAAAGTCAAAGACCCATCAGATGACAAAATGCACTAACATAGCCGGACAGACAAATTCAGGGAGTCAGGGCCTCACCGATCACATCTGGGGTCAACTCGGTTCCATTCCCACCTTCAGCTTGGTTCTGAGGGGCACCGGCCCTAGAAGACAAATAAAAGCCTGGTCCACCGGGCCCAAGCCTTTGCCCAGAGCTCCTTACCACAGACTTGCCCCAGACCAATAACTGGATATACCCCACTCTAGTACAGACCAGTCCTCCATCCCTCACCCAGCTTTACTCACGGAGAGAGAGGGTAGGCAAGAGCCAGAGACCAGCACAGGCCCCACAGGCCTAGGGCAACTTGTATTCCTGGAGCTCTGGCCATGCTGAACTGGAGAGGCTGCAGGACAGCTCAGGGCACCCGGACACCCTATATAGAGACCGCAGCAGCACTGCCCCCACCGCTAAGCTTGCTGGGAATGCAATGTCTCGCAGGATTGTGCCAATATTGGCTCATTACATCACTGTAAGGAAGGTCAGGGTCTGGACAGAAACCTGAGTCCAAGAGCAGTTCTTCCCGGCAGGAAGCCCCATCCCCTTCAGTGACTTTCGAGCAGTGGCTGGCCCAGGCCAGGGACACCTAGCATGACTCTTCTCCGTGAGAAGTCTGGGTGCCCATAAGATAAGGGAAGGGTGCAGATTGATGGAGGATCATCTTTCTGTGACTGGATTGCCCTCAGCAATAGGGGAAGAGAATAGATGTGGAAACTAACATTTGTGTATACTAAATGTCAAACCCCACTCTGAGACATCTAAAGACACTGATACTTACTTAATAGATACTGAGTAGTCACTCACCCACCCACCCACACACACACCCACACACACACACACACACACACACACTCTCAGAGAACAGCTTTTCCTAAGTTCTCTCAGGGGACTTTGGGGGGCATTCCCAAGCTTTGCCCTTTTGGGTCGATAATATTTCACTGTTGCAAAATGTCCAAGTCCCACCCTGGCCCCACCCCCACTGGCCAAAGGTCACGGGGAGGGAAGGGCTGACAGTAAAGGGGCAGGAAGAGGTGTCTCTGCTCCAGGGAACACGGCTAGTAACTCGTATTTCTTGGTAGTTTCCACCGGACTGGAAAGTGCTTTATTTACCAATCACAGAATAAATAGAACTGTAACTGAGGTTTTGCAGTATTTATATCAGTTCTGGCTTAAACCCCATCTTCTCAGGGAAGCCTTTCCTTGCCACCTTAGCTGTCATTTCAGATTTCAGCTTGTTTCCGTTGTCAATTATTAAAACTTGAAATTACTTCATCTGCTTACTTATTTGTTGCTTTCATCTTCATTTTGTTTTCCCTGTCTCCTTTGCCTGGCACAGAACAGGTGCTCCATGGTTGAACAGGGGGAAAAAAAGTGTGACTGGTGTTGCAACCACATTTCTGACAACTCTCCCCCTACCCCTACCCCAACCCCCCCCACCACACCCTTCATGCTACCCCCCCCATGAGGAGGTATCATAGTTGTATTACAATAGGAGGCACGTGGTGAGCACACTGTCACGGTACCTTTGGCTTAGGGTACTGTTTGTCTTACCAGCCTCCCTGCCCCAACTTCCCTTCCCCCTCTATCCCTGGGGTCCCACCTGCTACCGCTGGTGCTCATTATCTTGAGCCCACCCAAGGCCACTCCAAAAGTTGGCCCAACCTCTACTGGAAACAGAAGATAAATATGAGCAGCTAGTTATGGTCCAGGCTGAAGTTCCAGGACCCCAGGCTGAAAAGACCCTAATTCCTTGGAGTAACTCCCTTACATCTCCCCCCAACCTCCTCCCATCCCCCACTCAAAACTCTGGTAAAGGTTTCATATCCCTTTTCTATTCTGAAACGCTTCCTCCCAACTGGAAAACGAAGATTTTGGAAAACTCTGCAACAGTATGTCACCAGGCCTATGGTATCTGGTTCAACGTACTCTCCTTATTTACAAATGAACATGTGCCTCATTAACATCATTCCTGCCCATTGGTTTGTGGGCAGAGGGACTCCCCAGACCCTTGGCCTCCAGGGCAAGGCCATGGCTCTTGCGTGCTTGGCACCCACCTTCTCCCCAATGCAGGACATCCCTGGCCGGCCCTGTTCCACCCTACACTGGGTGTGCTTTTCCAGGACTCCCGCTCACCATTTCTTTCCCTCTCAGACTCTAAAACATTATACAACCTTCCTGGGATCCCCCCTTCCCAGCACCCAGTGACCTTTCACTAACAAATCCCTCAACAACTGTTGCTAGCTCCAGATTTCACTAAGCCTGCCTAGAGTGATGGAAGCTTTCCCACTGAGTCATGACTGCCCCCTAGAAAGCCCGCAGGGTGGGCTAGGGGAGCAACCTCCGATCTGGCCAGCAGAACTCTCCCAGGCACACAGCACATGTGTTGCACCATGGTTTTCAGCTTGGCCTCTTCTGTCCACGTGGCACTGGTGGCCTTCACAAAATTGAGTCTATCAGGGCCCTCCCTGGTGGCCCAGTGGGGTGGAGCACTGCATCATGAAGTTAAGCCAAGCGGTGACAGCTTCAGCGTGAGTTTGATCCCCGCCCTGGAGGTGACCCACATGGCACAGCAGACCTCTCCTGTCTCAACTTCTGCTCCCCTCAGCAGTGTACTTTGTCGATCTGCCTGTTCTGCTCCCCACTCTGTTTCTGGTGAATCCTCTCACTTCCCCTGCATCTCTGGTCTGTACCCCATTTCTATATGTATAAATAAATAAAATGGTTTATAAAAAAAGAACTGGTTCTATCGATCCCAGATGAGTGGCTTCTTTTCACTCTTATTTCCATGCTTGCTTATCTAACCAAAGGGAGCTTGGACACTGTTATTGGAGCCCTCCTTTCCCTTCCCCTCCCCTTTCACTCCACCCAGGAGGTGGGCTAGCAGATTCTTCTGCATGGCAAGCAGCTCTGGCTGAAGTTCAAGTTCTAAGCAAAGAGCTGAGAGGCAATAGACTGTGTCCCCTTGAAGCCCAGGTCGTGGATGTATATGTTGGCCTTTCTGGTCTCGGGGCACAAGGCAATTCTTCTCAGGAGACATTGGATTGAGCTGTCCTTGCTATATTCCTCACTTGACATTGCCCTTTCTGCTTGTCCCACTTCCTTCCCAGTTCTCTGGCCTAGCCTAAGAACTTGTCTACACTTGGGCCAGGGCGCCCCCTGGAGGTCGCATGAGTCAGTGCCTTCCCATCCTCAACCTGAGGCCAGAGCGCCTCTAAAATTTTCCTCCCTGAAATTGACTCTCCACAGTCTTCCTCCCTGACTCCTTTCAGCCTCGCTGTAGGACATGAGAGGCACATCCTCTTCCTTTGTAGACTTCTGCTGCCTACAGCAAGTTTGGGAATCTCAGATATTTAACATGCACGGTTGCTTGATTTCCTGGGAACTTCAAGCCCAGAAAAAATTGCCTATCTTTTTCAACATAGTTGTCTCCGTTCCAAATCAGCTGCTTTCTTGGTTTTCCCCAAAGGGGTCTAAATGTGAGTCAGACCCAGAAAGGTCTGAAGCTCATGGACATAACTTCCATTTGTGTTGTCAGGAGTAATGTGCCCATTGTCCCTGAGAACGGCTATGTCCAGCCTGCCCAGCCATTGATCTGAGTTCTGACTTCAATGGTTTCTTCTGAGGCCCACCGTGCTGTGTAGGCCTGCTGCCTGTGGCTGTGTTCTCCAGAGAGCAGAGACTGGATCCCCCTGCCCTCAGTCTTAGAAGACTTAGGTAAAGACTTAGGTAAGACTTAGGAGCCAAAAAGAGTCCTCTGCTTTTTTTTCTAAAAGACTTATTTATTTATGCATACCGAATTGGGGTACAGGCCAGAGATACGGGGGTGGGGGATGAGAGGATTCACCAGAGATATAGTGGGGAGCAGAACAGGCAGATGTACTGAAATACACTGCTGAGGGGTACAGCAGGCAGGTCAGGAGAGGTCTGCTGTGCCATGTGGGCCACCGCCCTGGCTGAGGGTTGAACTGTTGCTGCAGTGGCTGTGATAGCTTCATAGTGCTGTGTTTTAACCTCTTGGGCCACCAGGACAGAGCCTTCTGCTTCTAACTGACTCCTCCAACAAATCCAATGTCTCTTACTCTCTGTAAAGGAACTTCCTGAATAGTAACTTCTTACTTCTTTATGAATATTTACAATAATAATTTGCTCATATCCATTGGTGTTGTGCATGTGGATATGCTGATATGGATCATTTTATTAAATACACATACACACATATTCCTATGTATAGGCTACTACTAATTCCATTTTTCAAATGAAGAAACCAATATGTGAATATTAGGTATCTTGGCCACACCCACTGTTATTAAGTTGTGGAGCTGTGACCAAGCATTTGAGCTCTGCGTGCCTAATTCCTCAGGGTGCTCTTTATCCTATCAAAGGTCAAACTGCTCAATGTTTAACAGTCAGCTCTCTGGGGAAGAAAAAGTCCTACTTTGTAGAACTTGCTGTTTTTGTCGTGTGAATATGCCTATCACAGCCATCTAAGTATAAGATGACCTACAAGTCTTCATTGTGGAGTCGGCAGGACATGCACAGAAACATAGCATTGTATATGGTACTTCTGCTAAACAGACACAAGAGATGTAAATACTCAAAAGAGCACAGGTAATAAGAGAGTGCAATACAGCAGTTAGGAAGGGATGCACTTTGAATATTTATTAAATTCAATTTTTAATAACACATTTAAAGTTTACATAATTTAAAGAATGACTAAGTTTTCATAACCTATGGTCAACATTCTTGAAAACTTGACAGTGAATTCTAGAGTGCCAGTACAAGCCAGTTCCAGCAGACCACTGTCCACTGTATATATTGTCTTAATGAACAGGGCAAGAATCTTATTTGCTGCTTTCAATGATAGAGCTTCAGCACCTAGAACAGCGCCTGAAACACAGGGCTTATTGGCACTATTAAATACACATTAAATCAGCGTGTTTCTACTTCCCGATAGACTTAAAGTCTGTCCAATTCTCTCTGCCTCCCTCACAGTGCATCATCATTTCTTGTCTGACCACTGAAATAGCCTCTGCCTCTTTGCTTTTCCTGGCACTCTCCATGACTTCTTTCTTCCCCTTCTAATTTTAAAACTCTAACTGGTTGTATTAAGCAATTCATGAATCAGGCAGCATCCCATCCAGCAAGCAGAATAATATAGCAAGTAGTCCAACAATATTCTTCATAGCAACTCAGTAATCTTCAAAAATACATCTGAGACCAGCTTATGCTCATTTTTAAAATTCTTCTATAAAGACAAAAATCAGTTTTAATTCTAATAAAAAAATACCACTCTAACATTTTATTTATCCCAGCCATTTTCCATTATTGGAATCTTTTAAATACAAAGATAC